CATCGATTAGTTGTCGATTAATCGATTAGTTGTTTCAGCCCTAGTCTTCACCCCATGAAACACCGTTGCCGTGTGAACAAAAGGCAGATTCGTTTGTCAAATCTATGAATGAATGAGTGGTCAATAGTTTGATTAAAAACATATCACATTCACTGACTGTTTAACAACCAAAGAAAGGATTGGGCTGAAGCAACTTGCTTATCGTTGCTATGGCTGCTTAATTCTATCGTCTTGTTGTCACAGCGTCTGTGTGTAAACAGCACCTGTATCTTAAACCTGTATGTTGACAGCACCTGTATCTTAAACCTGTATGTTGACAGCACCTGTATCTTAAACCTGTATGTTGACAGCACCTGCATCTTAAACCTGTATGTTGACAGCACCTGTAGGTAAACCTGTATGTTGACAGCACCTGTAGGTAAACCTGTATGTTGACAGCACCTGTATGTTGACAGCACCTGTATCTTAAACCTGTATGTTGACAGCACCTGTATCTTAAACCTGTATGTTGACAGCACCTGTAGGTAAACCTGTATGTTGATAGCACCTGTAGGTAAACCTGTATGTTGACAGCACCTGTATCTTAAACCTGTATGTTGACAGCACCTGTAGGTAAACCTGTATGTTGACAGCACCTGTAGGTAAACCTGTATGTTGACAGCACCTGTATCTTAAACCTGTATGTTGATAGCACCTGTAGGTAAACCTGTATGTTGACAGCACCTGTATCTTAAACCTGTATGTTGACAGCACCTGTATCTTAAACCTGTATGTTGACAGCACCTGTATCTTAAACCTGTATGTTGACAGTACCTGTAGGTAAACCTGTATGTTGATAGCACCTGTAGGTAAACCTGTATGTTGACAGCACCTGTATCTTAAACCTGTATGTTGACAGCACCTGTAGCTAGGACCTGTATGTTGACAGCACCTGTATCTTAAACCTGTATGTTGACAGCACTTGTAGCTAGGACCTGTATGTTGACAGCACCTGTATCTTAAACCTGTATGTTGACAGCACCTGTAGGTAAACCTGTATGTTGACAGCACCTGTAGGTAAACCTGTATGTTGACAGCACCTGTATCTTAAACCTGTATGTTGACAGCACCTGTAGGTAAACCTGTATGTTGACAGCACCTGTATCTTAAACCTGTATGTTGACAGCACCTGTATCTTAAACCTGTATGTTGACAGCACCTGTAGGTAAACCTGTATGTTGATAGCACCTGTAGGTAAACCTGTATGTTGACAGCACCTGTAGGTAAACCTGTATGTTGACAGCACCTGTATCTTAAACCTGTATGTTGACAGCACCTGTATCTTAAACTTGTATGTTGACAGCACCTGTAGGTAAACCTGTATGTTGACAGCACCTGTAGGTAAACCTGTATGTTGACAGCACCTGTAGGTAAACCTGTATGTTGACAGCACCTGTAGGTAAATCTGTATGTTGACAGCACCTGTATCTTAAACCTGTATGTTGACAGCACCTGTATCTTAAACCTGTATGTTGACAGCACCTGTATCTTAAACCTGTATGTTGACAGCACCTGTATCTTAAACCTGTATGTTGACAGCACCTGTAGGTAAACCTGTATGTTGACAGCACCTGTAGGTAAACCTGTATGTTGACAGCACCTGTAGGTAAAACTGTATGTTGACAGCACCTGTATCTTAAACCTGTATGTTGACAGCACCTGTATCTTAAACCTGTATGTTGACAGCACCTGTAGGTAAACCTGTATGTTGATAGCACCTGTAGGTAAACCTGTATGTTGACAGCACCTGTAGGTAAACCTGTATGTTGATAGCACCTGTAGGTAAACCTGTATGTTGACAGCACCTGTATCTTAAACCTGTATGTTGACAGCACCTGTATCTTAAACCTGTATGTTGACAGCACCTGTAGGTAAACCTGTATGTTGATAGCACCTGTAGGTAAACCTGTATGTTGACAGCACCTGTAGGTAAACCTGTATGTTGATAGCACCTGTAGGTAAACCTGTATGTTGACAGCACCTGTATCTTAAACCTGTATGTTGACAGCACCTGTATCTTAAACCTGTATGTTGACAGCACCTGTAGGTAAACCTGTATGTTGATAGCACCTGTAGGTAAACCTGTATGTTGACAGCACCTGTAGGTAAACCTGTATGTTGATAGCACCTGTAGGTAAACCTGTATGTTGACAGCACCTGTATCTTAAACCTGTATGTTGACAGCACCTGTATCTTAAACCTGTATGTTGACAGCACCTGTAGGTAAACCTGTATGTTGATAGCACCTGTAGGTAAACCTGTATGTTGACAGCACCTGTAGGCGGGGCAGTGACAGATGCGTCCTGGTTTAAGCGTGCTGTAGCTGTACTCAGAGGAGGTCACCATGAAGTACTGCCGCTCTGGCGCCATCGCCATGGAGACGAGATAATCCTGAAACAAAAGGACGTGATCAGTGTTCAGTCACACAGAGCTCTCCTTTCACTTTGAAAACCACGTACCTCAGCTTTAAATCAGAGAGAGGTTTGTTTCTGTTAAAAGCCACAACTGATATTATTTATAATATTATAATCAATAATATGAATACGTTTTTCTAGACACTTAAAGACTTACAGCATTATTCATTCATTCATACAAGATGGCAATAAACCACCACTATAGCCACAGCTGCCCTGGGGCACACTGACACTCAGATCTCTCCCACCACCAACGATCCACACGCAAGCCACACTCCTCAGCTGTCGTACGTAACATTAAAGTTGGCGTACGTAACATCAAATTTGGCGTACGTAACATTAAAGCTGACGTACGCAACATACGTACGTAACTCTGACCTGAAACCCTTCAGACCACACCAATAGAAGACATTAAAGCCAGTTCGGTAAAGTCAGCTTGATATTCACAGATTCGGACTTCCGCCATGAATATCTCACGAAAGCAACGTTGTTAAACGAAAGTAATGGTGCCAAAATGATCACCTCTACTTAGGCTAACTACTACAACATCGATTTTTCAAATCCAATGCGCTGTTTTAATGCGGAGAAATCCATTCAATCCAAGTGCCGAGAAAAGCGCATAGGGAGCGTCAACAAGTATCAATACCAGCTTTGTAAACGAACAATAGCTGTTACTTGAAGCCATGTACACGCACAGAACTCTAGGACACAATACATAACTAACACTTCTAACTTGTACAACCTTTGTTTTCAGCATTTGCCTCTTTTTTTATATTTTTTATGATGAAATATGACTACAAATCTTGAATAACTTTTTTTCTAAAAGGGGCGTGGTCACCAAATTCTCAGGTATGATCAATAACTACAATATCTAACTACTACAACTTTTGTTTTCAGCAGAAATATCTTTTTTATATTTTTTATGATTAAATATGAATATGATTTTTGAATAACTTTTTTTCAAAAAGGGGCGTGGTCACCAAATTCTCAGGTATCATCAATAACTGCCATATCTAACTACTACAACTTTTGTTTTCAGCAGAAATATCTTTTTTTATATTTTTTATGATTAAATATGACTACAAATCTTGAATAACTTTTTTTCAAAAAGGGGCGTGGTCACCAAATTCTCAGGTATAACCAATAATTAAAATATCTCATGGGTTTGTCAGTGGTGTTGAAGCTGATTCCACAAAGCTGGATGTGGTCCAGTTCCACTGCTACGGAGATAAAATAATGTTCTATTGTAACAGGAATTACATTTCATTATTTTATGAGTAATATGCAAATACACATAGTATATACAATTATCAAATATCACATACCATTGTGCAATGGACACAACACTGCTCTCTTATCACATTCTGAAGAATTTGGTGACCACGCCCCCTTTTTAGAACAAAAGCTATTGAAGATTGATAATTAATCATAAAAATGTAACAAAGAGATAAATGCTGCAAACAAAGGTTGCAGTACTTAGATATGTTAATTATTGATTATAACTGAGATTTTGGTGACCACGCCCCTTTTAGAACAAAATTTATTGAAGATTGTGACACTTGTCATGTCAGGATGGCACTTATGAAGATGTTGGAGGAACAAAGTGCACACCCAGGGTGCAGGTTTATTTACATTGGACAGCATGTCATGCAACACTCTCTCTGTTCAGAGTTGGTGGCCTGCTTTTATAGCATATGACAGTAATTAAGCAATACTAACTGCAGCCCTACAGCAATAATTAAAGTAGTGCTTTTACACTCTTTTTATTATTATTATTTAAATTTACAAATGATTTATTTATTCTAAAACTATACTAAACTGGAAAGATAAAACCCAGGAAACCCCTCCACCCTCTCTGCAGAGTGGATGAACCCGGAATCCTCTTTAGGTGCTCCGGCTCCTCAGGACTTATTTGGCCGGAACGCCTAAAGAGGGCAGACAAGGGAGTAAAAGATAAGTATATTTAAATGTTGTACATTTATTCATTTTCCTTAACTCACACTCTTTTCCTTTACAGGTCCGCACCTTCACATACAAATCAATCTTTAATAAATGTTTTAAAACATTAGAGTCTGTCTAATTCATACTCCTGTTAACCCTCGTAAAGGACTCTTCTCCATTTATAAAAAGCCATTGAAGATTCAATCATAAAAAATATGAAAAAAGGTATTTCTGCTAAAAACAAAGGTTGTAGTAGTTAGATATTGTAGTTATTGATCATACCTGAGAATTTGGTGACCACGCCCCTTTTAGAAAAAAAGTTATTCAAGATTTGTAGTCATATTTCATCACAAAGAATATAAAGAGAAAAATACAAAAAACAAAGGTTGTAGTAGTTAGATATTGCAGTTATTGATGATACCTGAGAATTTGGTGACCACGCCCCTTTTTGAAAAAAAGTTATTCAAGATTTGTAGTCATATTTCATCATATTTAATCATAAAAATATAAAAAAGATATTTCTGCTGAAAACAAAAGTTGTAGTAGTTAGATATGGCAGTTATTGATGATACCTGAGAATTTGGTGACCACGCCCCTTTTTGAAAAAAAGTTATTCAAGATTTGTAGTCATATTTCATCATATTTAATCATAAAAATATAAAAAAGATATTTCTGCTGAAAACAAAAGTTGTAGTAGTTAGATATGGCAGTTATTGATGATACCTGAGAATTTGGTGACCACGCCCCTTTTTGAAAAAAAGTTATTCAAAAATCATATTCATATTTAATCATAAAAAATATAAAAAAGATATTTCTTCTGAAAACAAAAGTTGTAGTAGTTAGATATGGCAGTTATTGGTTATACCTGAGAATTTGGTGACCACGCCCCTTTTTGAAAAAAAGTTATTCAAGATTTGTAGTCATATTTAATCATAAAAATATAAAAAAGATATTTCTGCTGAAAACAAAAGTTGTAGTAGTTAGATATGGCAGTTATTGATGATACCTGAGAATTTGGTGACCACGCCCCTTTTTGAAAAAAAGTTATTCAAGATTTGTAGTCATATTTAATCATATTTAATCATAAAAATATAAAAAAGATATTTCTGCTGAAAACAAAAGTTGTAGTAGTTAGATATGGCAGTTATTGATGATACCTGAGAATTTGGTGACTACGCCCCTTTTTGAAAAAAAGTTATTCAAAAATCATATTCATATTTAATCATAAAAAATATAAAAAAGATATTTCTTCTGAAAACAAAAGTTGTAGTAGTTAGATATGGCAGTTATTGGTTATACCTGAGAATTTGGTGACCACGCCCCTTTTTGAAAAAAAGTTATTCAAGATTTGTAGTCATATTTCATCATATTTAATCATAAAAATATAAAAAAGATATTTCTGCTGAAAACAAAAGTTGTAGTAGTTAGATATGGCAGTTATTGATGATACCTGAGAATTTGGTGACCACGCCCCTTTTTGAAAAAAAGTTATTCAAAAATCATATTCATATTTAATCATAAAAAATATAAAAAAGATATTTCTGCTGAAAACAAAAGTTGTAGTAGTTAGATATGGCAGTTATTGATGATACCTGAGAATTTGGTGACCACGCCCCTTTTTGAAAAAAAGTTATTCAAGATTTGTAGTCATATTTCATCATATTTAATCATAAAAATATAAAAAAGATATTTCTGCTGAAAACAAAAGTTGTAGTAGTTAGATATGGCAGTTATTGATGATACCTGAGAATTTGGTGACCACGCCCCTTTTTGAAAAAAAGTTATTCAAAAATCATATTCATATTTAATCATAAAAAATATAAAAAAGATATTTCTGCTGAAAACAAAAGTTGTAGTAGTTAGATATGGCAGTTATTGATCATACCTGAGAATTTGGTGACCACGCCCCTCTTTGAAAAAAAGTTATTCAAAATTCATATTCATATTAAATCCTATTTATTCATAAAAAATACGAAAAAGAAACAAATGCTGAAAACAAAGGTTGTAGTAGTTAGATATGGTAGCTATTTATAGTATTTGAGAGTTTAGTGCGTGTACTTGGCTTAAAATAAAAACTATTGTTCGTTTACACAGCTGGTATTGGCATTTGTTGACGCTCCCTAAGTGCTTTTCTCGGCACTTGCGGCGCATTGGATTCAATGGATTTCTCTGCATTAAAACAGCGCATTGGATTAGAAAAATCGATGTTGTAGTAGTTAGCCCATGTAGAGGTGATCATTTTGGCACAATTACTTTCGTTTAACAACGTAGCTTTCGTAAGATATTCACCGCGGAAGTCCGAATCTGTGAATATCAAGCTAACTTTACCGAACTATTAAAGCCTAGTTCCTGGCTCTGAAACAACTTCTACTTAAAGTTAAGGGAAAGACTAAGACTAAAATCACGTACCCCGGCTTTAAAGTTACGCACCACCTCAGGTTTAAATCAAACAAAAGTATTAGCAGATTTAAAATAAAGTAATAATATTTACACAGTGACGGCGAGTCTGACCTGCAGTTGTTACCAGAGTACTTCGAACACTACAGTAGTGGTAGTACTTTCCTTCAGAGTACTTCGAACACTGCAGTAGTGGTAGTACTTTCCTTCAGAGTACTTCAAACACTGCAGTAGTGGTAGTACTTTCCTTCAGAGTACTTCAAACACTGCAGTAGTGGTAGTACTTTCCTTCAGAGTACTTCGAACACTGCAGTAGTGGTAGTACTTTCCTTCAGAGTACTTCGAACACTGCAGTAGTGGTAGTACTTTCCTTCAGAGTACTTCAAACACCGCAGTAATATTAGTACTTTCCCTCAGAGTACTTCGAACACCGCAGTATAATTCAGTAGTACAGGCACAAAGTTAGAGACGTGTTTACACTTCCTCTTTCGCTTTCGCAGGTCACGTGTCAGGGCTCAGGTAAACAGTCAACTGAGTTATAGTCAGTGTTTATGGCAGATTTCAGAGACACCAGAGGACAGCGGGGACAGAGGGGGACGGAGGGGACAGTGGGGACAGAGGGGGACGGAGGGGACAGTGGGGACAGAGGGGACAGAGGGGGACAGTGGGGACAGAGGGGGACAGAGGGGGACGGAGGGGACAGTGGGGACAGAGGGGGACGGAGGGGACAGTGGGGACAGAGGGGGACGGAGGGGACAGGGGGACAGAGGGGGACGGAGGGGACAGTGGGGACAGAGGGGACAGAGGGGACAGTGGGGACAGAGGGGACAGAGGGGGACAGTGGGGACAGAGGGGGACGGAGGGGACAGTGGGGACAGAGGGGGCAGAGAGGACAGTGGGGACAGAGAGGACAGTGGGGACAGAGGGGGACGGAGGGGACAGTGGGGACAGTGGGGGACGGAGGGGACAGTGGGGACAGAGGGGACAGAGGGGGACAGTGGGACAGGGGGACAGAGGGGGACAGAGGGGACAGAGGGGGACGGAGGGGACAGTGGGGACAGAGGGGACAGAGGGGGGCAGAGAGGACAGTGGGGACAGAGAGGACAGTGGGGACAGAGGGGGACAGAGGGGATAGTGGGGACAGAGAGGACACAGGACAGTGGGGGACAGAGGGGGACGGAGGGGACAGAGGGGACAGTGGGGACAGAGGGGGGCAGAGAGGACAGTGGGGACAGAGGGGACAGTGGGGACAGAGAGGACACAGGACAGTGGGGGACAGAGGGGACAGAGGGGGACGGAGGGGACAGTGGGGACAGAGGGGACAGTGGGGACAGAGGGGGGCAGGACAGTGGGGACAGAGGGGACAGTGGGGACAGAGAGGACAGTGGGGACAGAGGGAGACAGAGGGGATAGTGGGGACAGAGGGGGGCAGAGAGGACACAGAGGACAGTGGGGGAGAGAGAGGACAGTGGGGGAGGGACAGAGAGAGGACGGAGAAGACAGTGGGGGAGAGAGAGGACAGTGGGGAGAAGGACTTTGTACACAACATATCAAGAAATGTTCATCTTAATTTTAATCATACAAGACAGAAATTCCAGTATAGCAGACAATACTTTCTTTTCCGCAGTGACGTCATTCAATAATAATAATAATAATAATTAAACAATGCGTTTCGAAAAATCACCTTTTGTCTCTGGAACTTTGTGATCACAGCCGTGCACGATCCGCGTCTACGTGGTTTGTTATCTTTGTTAATTTTTAAATAAATACATCATTACATTTAAATACATTTGTTGTGTCAACATTTTCAATGCGTTTGTTTTTTCCCCACTTGTATTTCGTTTAATAAAAAGACAAAAAAAAGAAAAAAAGTCCAGTGACGTCAGAGTAAACAGACAAAATGGCGGCGGAACGAGAAGCTCTTCAGCGACAGATCCAACTGTTACAGAGTAAGATCAAATATACAGATTATTACATGTTCACCACTGCTGTCGTTATGGATTAACTCATGTGAAGGTTCCTGTGGGGTTCGTGTTGATGCTTTTAAACTGCTTTAAACACGTGTTACTGCTGTTGCAACGTGAGATAACGCTGGAGATACTCTGTGTGTTTCTGTGTCGCTCTCAATCACAACAGCAGAGTCTCAAAGTTGGCAATTCAACAACAACAGAACAGAGAATCAGACAGATATTAATGGGATTATAACACGTTAACGCTGCTGTAGCTAAATGAAAAAAAAAACTCATGTGAAGTGTCGTGTCACTGATTTCAAACTGTTTTAACCACGATAAAAAACGCAACATTGTCCAGGGTGATCCCAGGGCAGTCCAGGGTGATCACAGGGCAGTCCAGGGTGATCCCAGGGCAGTCCAGGGTGATCACAGGGCAGTCCAGGGTGATCCCAGGGCTGTCCAGGGTGATCCCAGGGCAGTCCAGGGTGATCCCAGGGCTGTCCAGGGTGATCCCAGGGCAGTCCAGGGTGATCACAGGGCAGTCCAGGGTGATCCCAGGGCTGTCCAGGGTGATCCCAGGGCTGTCCAGGGTGATCCCAGGGCTGTCCAGGGTGATCCCAGGGCAGTCCAGAGTGATCCCAGGGCAGTCCAGGGTGATCCCAGGGCTGTCCAGGGTGATCCCAGGGCTGTCCAGGGTGATCCCAGGGCTGTCCAGGGTGATCCCAGGGCAGTCCAGAGTGATCCCAGGGCAGTCCAGGGTGATCCCAGGGCTGTCCAGGGTGATCCCAGGGCTGTCCAGAGTGATCCCAGGGCAGTCCAGGGTGATCCCAGGGCAGTCCAGGGTGATCCCAGGGCAGTCCAGGGTGATCCCAGGGCAGTCCAGGGTGATCACAGGGCAGTCCAGGGTGATCCCAGGGCAGTCCAGGGTGATCCCAGGGCTGTCCAGGGTGATCCCAGGGCAGTCCAGAGTGATCCCAGGGCAGTCCAGGGTGATCCCAGGGCAGTCCAGGGTGATCCCAGGGCAGTCCAGGGTGATCCCAGGGCAGTCTAGGGTGATCCCAGGGCAGTCCAGGGTGATCCCAGGGCAGTCCAGAGTGATCCCAGGGCAGTCCAGGGGCCAGGCATTAAGGTCCAGGGTGATCACAGGGCAATCCAGGGTGATCACAGGGCAATCGGGTCCATGGTGATGATTGAGACAGAGGCTTATGTCTTCAGCTCTACTGTAAACAATATCAGGAAAATTAATGAAGCCACTGTTTGTAGTGAAGCAAATAAAGATTAAGATGAAGAGCTCCTTTGCTCGTGTCACAGTAGGAATGAGGAGCACACAGCACAGGATAAATGGACCAGAACTCTATACTAAGATAAAAACAACATCTCTAACTTTGGCATAATGGAGTATTGCACAGATAAATAAAGTAAAGTGACAAAAAGGACAAAAGTTGCCAATGTCTGGGATTGAGTCAAAGCAGAAGACGTTTTATTTTTGGTAAAAGACACAGAGATTTGCAGCGTGTAATTGGATTTATATAGACAAAACAGCATCTGACGCGGCACAGAACCAACTGTCTGCTTCGACCTTAATCTTAGACTCGCCGATGCCCCAACAGTTTGAATATTCCTGTTTAAATCTCCCTTCTGTTTTCAGACCTGATTGAACGACACAAGAGTGTGCATGGGGACGCCCCGGCTCCTGGGACCAGAGACCAGAGCAGGACTTGGACCAGGACTTCAACCAGGTCCACAGAGCTGCCCCCAGTCCGGGTCCGGTCCACTCTCCCCTCAGCTCAGACCCTCAGAGCTCAGGGTGAGTCACAACTGGAACTCATTCAATTAAAGACCACGGCCAAATTATATTATTGTTGTGTCTGAAAGTCTGGACAGAGTGACCAGAGAGAGATAGCAGAGAGAGATAGCAGAGAGAGATAGCAGAGAGAGATAGCAGAGAGAGATAGCAGAGAGAGATAGCAGAGAGAGATAGCATAGAGAGATAGCAGAGAGAGATAGCAGAGAGAGATAGCAGAGAGAGAGATATAGCAGAGAGATATAGCAGAGAGATATAGCAGAGAGATATAGCATAGAGAGATAGCATAGAGAGATAGCAGAGAGAGATAGCAGAGAGAGAGATATAGCAGAGAGAGATAGCAGAGAGAGATAGCATAGAGAGATAGCAGAGAGAGATAGCAGAGAGAGATAGCCGAGAGAGATAGCAGAGAGAGAGATATAGCAGAGAGATATAGCAGAGAGATATAGCAGAGAGATATAGCAGAGAGAGAGACCAGAGAAAGAAAATAATGAGACCATAGATGTTATGTTCTGAGAGTTTGTTTTTCCTTCACGGTGATTGCTCCCAGGATTTTAGAGAAGTTGACTTTTGATGCCTACCATTGAACTAGAGACACTTTGAAACGTGCTGATGTCACATTATTGTTGACGTGGTGGATCTTCTGACGCGTCTGACCTTCTCTCCTCCTCAGAAGCACCAGGAAGCACCAAAGCCACCGCCTCCAGAGACGCGGCTCGTAAACGCAGTGACTCTGACCTGACGACCGCCACCTCAACACCCGCCCTGCCCAGATCTGTGGGAGCCCGCCCTGTGAAGCCACATCCAGTCACTCTGACCACTCTGACCACGACGAGCCTAAAACCTGCTCTGACCACGACGAGCCTAAAACCTGCTCTGACCACGACGAGCCTAAAACCAGCTCTAACCACGACGAGCCTAAAACCTGCTCTGACCACGACGAGCCTAAAACCTGCTCTGACCACGACGAGCCTAAAACCTGCTCTGACCACGACGAGTGTAAAACCTGCTCTGACCACGACGAGCCTAAAACCTGCTCTGACCACGACGAGCCTAAAACCTGCTCTGACCACGGCTGTTCTTTCGCCGCCGTCGTCTGTGATTTCGTCCAAACTCACTCAGTCCAAAACCTCTCGTCGACCGGTCACTTCTGAGACACTGCAGACCTCTGTGAGTGAAGGACCAGACCAGACCAAGAAGCACAGTCCAGGACCAGACCGGACTAAGGCCCGGACCGTGGGGCGGTCTAAGTTCACGTGGGTGCGCCCGGTGACACCCAAAGGTGCTGCTGCGGAGCCTGACCCGGGTAAGTGTCTCTGGGTTATGTCCCTCCTTCTGTCAGTCAGGCAAACAAAACCCAGCTTTAAAGATACAGACCCCAGCTTTAAAGATACAGACCCCAGCTTTAAAGTTACAGACTCCAGCTTTAAAGTTACAGACCCCAGCTTTAAAGTTACAGACCCCAGCTTTAAAGTTACAGACTCCAGCTTTAAAGTTACAGACCCCAGCTTTAAAGTTACAGACCCCAGCTTTAAAGTTACAGACCCCAGCTTTAAAGTTACAGACTCCAGCTTTAAAGTTACAGACCCCAGCTTTAAAGTTACAGACCCCAGCTTTAAAGTTACAGACTCCAGCTTTAAAGTTACAGACCCCAGCTTTAAAGTTACAGACCCCAGCTTTAAAGTTACAGACCCCAGCTTTACAGTCATGAGCCCTAGCTTTATTGACTCACCCCGAGAGTGTAGTCAACTCTGTTTTATGGTTTGTTGCCAGACTCCGGGCCAATCAGACGCAGCCGTGTGAGCGCGCTCAGTAAGTCCAGGTACCAGTGGGTATCCAGGGTCCAGAAACCTGAATCCGTAGAGACCAGTCCAAAAGCGCCCAGACCTGGAACCGCCCTGAAGACCAGTCCCAAAGGCCCTAAAGGGAGCAGCAGGTTCCGGTGGGCGGCGCCACAAAGGTCTGTGGTCATTGCAGGCTCCTCCCCCATCACCATGGAGACGCCGTTTAAGCTCCGCAACCGGACAAAGATCATCCACAAAACCAGGTGAGGATCGAAGACCTGTTTTACCTTGGACTGAAGGAAAGCAGGTAGAGGAGCTGTTTTCATTCATTTTCTTTCTTTTCTTTTTGTTACAGCTCCTCTGAAGTCAGGACTCCTTCTGGACCTAAACCCAGGACTGGACCCAGGACCCTTGTCTCCAGACACCGACTGCGAAGGGTCAGTCCAGGATCAGGACCCAAACACAAGGAGCTGGTCTCAGTGTCCCGGCACAAGCTGAGGAGAGTCCGACCTGAGTCCAGAGACAAAGGACCAGAGGGCAGGACCAGTCCACAGTCTACTCCTCGGTCCAGTTTAACCCGGTCCAGAGCCAAGGAGCTGGTCTCAGTCTCCAGACACAAGCTGAGGAGAATCCGGCCAGAGTCCAGGGACCAAGGACCAGAGAGCAGGACCAGTCCACAGTCCACTTCTCGGTCCAGAACCAAAGAGCTGGTCTCAGTGTCCAGACACAAGCTCAGGAGGATCAGCCCCGGACTCTGCAGGTGAGGAGCTAATGCTGGATCTGTCGCTATTGTGTGGAATTATGGGAAAATAGTTGAACACATCTGTCTGCAGGAGCCAGAGCTGGAGGAGTCCTCACACGAGAAGTCCTCAGACCCGGACTCAGACCCGATCCCGGAGCAGGACTGTGTCAGGTCAGTGTCCATGTGTCTGTCTGTATGCGTGTGTGTACAGGTTTGAAATGAATACATACAAAATAAAATAATAGACAACACACAACTTCATCATAGAGTCTGAATCACTGCTGACACGATTATCCAAGTGTCCAGCAGAGGGCGCTGTCTGACCACCGCTAAACAAGGTCCTGAACATAAATCTCTACACTTGTCCTCCTCTCTCTGCTTCTTTCCTTGTGTCTTTAGCGTATGAACATGAAAAATGCGAGCGATAAGAGTTAATTAAGGGGTAATGGAGTCTGCGCACGCACATACACGCACACACACAAATATGCGCACGCAAATACTCACACACACACACGCATTGTTGGTCAGTGTGGAATTAATGTAATGATTACGACTGACAACACAAGTGTGTGTGTGTGTGTGTGTGTGTGTGTGTGAGAGAGACTCATTGGAGGACACACATGTGTGTAATGACTGGTGACAGCAGGATTCTCCTCTGAGCAGCTGGAAGGTTTCTGGTACATGATATTTGAACCTGATGCAGAAACTCTGAGGAGTGAAACGGTAACTAAAGCTGCAGCTGTTGGGGAGACTCATTCCTCTGTCAGAGGGAGGACCAGGGGGGGAGGACCAGGGGGGAGGACCAGAGCAACTCAGGGAGGGGACCAGGGCGCCTAGGGGAGAGGCCTCTGGGGGAGAACCAGGGGGGGAGGACCAGGGGGGGGAGGACCAGAGCAACTCAGGGAGGGGACCAGGGCACCTAGGGGAGAGGCCTGGGAGGGAGACCAGGGGGGAGGACCAGGGTGGCCAGGGGAGAGGCTTGGGAGGGAGCCCGCCTGCGTGTGTCCGCCTCACAGCTGTCTCCTGTAACAGTTTTTGCTCCTGTCGTGTGCAACAGATCTGTCCAAGTGTCACATTTACACTTGTGTTTTTAAACCTGACGAGACGTGTCTTCAGACCGAGCCTTGGTGACCCAACATGGCCGCCCGTTCAGATTAGTTCAGGAGACAAAAGGACTCAAATCCACTGAACCTTATGGTACAGGTGTCTCTCTGGTATATGTGTCTCTGGTACATTTGTTCCTCTGGTACCAATGTTACTAATACAGCTTGAACTTTACACAACCACCAACTTTAAGATGAGATGTTTATATTCAAACATATCCAAGGAGAGGTCAGAGTTAATTAATAATCTTGCCAAACTTTGAACATCTCACGGAGCACGGGTCTATCCATTATTCAGAAATGAAAAGAGTATGGACCACTGCCGTCCACCAAAACTCACAAGAACAAGGATTGTTTACTGATCACAGATGCTGTCAAGAGGCCTGTGGTTACTCTGGTTGAGCTACACCCCTCTACAGTTCACCTGGGGGAATGTGAAGACGTCTGGCCTGTACGGGCGAGTGGTCAGCACCGGTGGGCGTGGGTCCCGGCTCAAAAAGGTCCATCCACCTGCGCTGACATTCTGTAATCTGACTCCTTGCCGGTGGGGGTGTACAGAAAACAGAATTATTCACTAAATTCTTATGGGACCATCTTTCCTCTCAAAAACCTCTTCAGGATGGTCCAAAAGTCGCTCTTGGCTCAATAAAATAATAATAATACTACGTTCCAGATGCTGCCAATTCTGAGGGGCAATTTTTGTTTCTTTAGGACCAATCTAGTTTAGCCGCTGCAGACTTTTGAATGCACTCGTTAAATAAATCGGCCTCGTGCAGCTAAATGCGTTTTTTCACATTTTCCTGCGGGAGGGGCTGCCTGCGGCCATTTTGGAAAAACTCAGCAGGAGGAAAAAGTGGTCACACATAAGTTTCAACGGCGTTTCACTACGTATGTTAACATTTACAGTCTGTACAGGACAGATGCAGCAAATAAAAGGCAATTTTGGAAAACCCACTTTCTGGAGTCGGCAAAGGCCTCGAGGATTTCACTTCCATCTGGACAAAGATCCGGAATCTGAAGCCAGAGCCACAATAGAACAGTTTAGGTTTATGTGCGGAGGATATAGTTGTAACCTCAGAGACACCCGCTGTGGAACCTTGCAGCTGTTCTGCTCTCAGGCATGTGGAGCTGCTGAGGACTGTGGGACACACGCACACACACAGATACACACAAACATACACACACACACACGGACACACGCAGATAGACATACACTCACAAACATGCACCTACACACACACACACACACACACACACGGACACACGCATATAGACATACACTCACAAACATGCACCTACACACACACATTGACATGCTCAGACACACGCACACACACACACACACACACACACACACGGACACACGCATATAGACATACACTCACAAACATGCACCTACACACACACATACACACACACAAACATAAGACACGCACAGAGACACACCACCCCCTCGCACACACGCGCACACATGCACAGAGACACACCCCCACACGCACGCAGAGACACACACAGAGACACACACGCGCAGCTCCGGTTCCAGTGAAACCTGCGCCTGTTTCACACGTCTTAATGAGATCCGTCTGAAACTCAAACTCTGTAAATAGAGATAAGTCACTGTACAACAAACTGTAAAACACGCAGACACACACACACACACACACACATACACGTTTTTGTTACCTGGTGGGTCCCTTTGACAGGGCCGTTCAGAATGGGACCCATAGACATAATCTTTTTTTACCAAGACTTTAAGTAATACAAAACAGTCAATAGAAACCAAACAACTATTTTAAAGGAATTTTATTTTAGATTTTGTTTTCGAATTGCAGTGATTCTATTTTTGACATAGAATTTAATGCCACTCCATGTCCGATGTCTAAGGTCATCTGGTGAGGCATTAATGCAGGCCAGGCAGTGAGACTTCCCAGGGACCTTTCCAGTCTGTATGAAAGGTGTCATGGTCTTCTCCACAGCCTTCACCTCAGATGCAGACCATGGCTTTCTTACACGTTCTAGGGAGAGAAATAAAAATATATTAGCAATATACACTCCCAGGGTGAGGACCAAGCAGCCTGGCTGTAATCCCCCACCTGGTACACTTACCAGAAGGGGCACTGCCACTACCATGGGGTGCATCTGGATGAATGGTTGAAGGTTCTCCACTTGAAGTTTCTTTTAGCCCGTCCGTTTGTGAGAGGATCTCTACTGCTCTCCCTGTCGCACAGAAAATAAAAATACAAGTGGCCTTTAGGGGAAAAAAATCATACATATTTTAATAATATCAAGAATTACCTTCAGGCTCAATTTGTATCTGGTCGAGGCTCTTTCCTTCGAATTCCGTCACTCTTCCCTGCTCCATGGCCATCAACACTTTGCTGATTTTGGCCAGCTCCAGTGTCCCCTCTGGTAGTCTGTAATATTGCCTGTGGATGCGAATGTCATGGCCGAGGAAGTTGGCAAGTATGTCCATCTCATTCTCTTTCATATTGAGAACTGTAGACATAGTAGCTATGTGCTTTCTAAGTTTGGTTGAGGATAGCATCTCTGGATGCACCGCACCACATTCTTTGGCTACCTGGCGTAGGGAGTCTGATCCCCTGATGTGGGTGTCTGCGCCCGGGCGGGAAAAGAAGTATGGGTTATGGTCAGAGATGGAACAGGCCCTTCTGTTCTCCACCAGCACCTCCATCGAAGCAATCATTTCAGGAGTCAAAAGAACCGGCACTTTCCGACTTCTTTTCCCTTTAATTTCAATGCGTTGAAAATGCTGACACAGCTTTTTCTCAAGTTGGGACAGTCCCAGAGCAATGTCAGAATGGATCCCAGTCTTACTTCTTAAGGTAAAGGCTGTCAGTGGCATCTTTGAAACCTCACCTTCCCTTCTTCGATTGAAAATGATGACCTCACAAAGAGTCAAAACTGCCAGTTTAGACCAATGCTTAGACGTTGGCTCACTTATTAGGGTTTGCACATATTCAGGTCGACATACCTCAATATGTGCATGCATGGCTCTAACGTCCTCAGTCAGAGGGAGCAGGTCCGGAGTGTTCCACTTGGCTTGCCGGAGGGTCTGTAGGGCAGCAGAAGAAACACAGACGTCCCACCTCTTCTCAAAAAGCAGCCGGCTTCGTTGGAGGTTTTTAATAAATAGTTCATCAACACAATGCTCCATTTTTGAGTCACATTCAAGAATATCTGCTAGCTTTCTGAGGCTATGGCCGAGTTTGAGGGCCAAGGATGGAGTCTTGTATTGATTTGTTTCCTCATCATATCCAGCCACAGACCTGACTGCATCAATCACATGGTTAAAGTTGGAAGGAATAAAGAAATCCTTAATTGTTTTCAGTTTCCCTGCGGTTTTTGCTTCGTTAATTAACCTACCGACTTCTCTCATTTTCTGCCTAATGTAATCATGCTTTGTCTTATCATGCCCGTGTTTTAAGTACAGGTGCTCTCCGAGTCTCAGAATCCCCTTTTCTGCTTTGACAACACCCGTGACCTCATCCTGATGCATTGCCGAAATTAAAGACCACAGCTTTTTGCTGATGCCCTCCGGTACAGGCTGGGCTAGGGAGCAGAGGGACTGGACCCTACTTCTACCTGGTTTAGCCTGGGCATCTTTCTGTGAAAGCCGGCACCTGGCCACATGCCTCCACAGCGACTTTCGCTTAAGCAATGCCCCACAGTCTATACAGTGCAAAAACTCACTGGATTTAACTGGGCAATTTGGCTGTTTAGCTGGGACTAAAGTTCCAATGCCGGCCTTTAAAACCTCAAAATTGTGCTCACGGTTTCCACTATTCCTGATCAAATCAAACTGAAGTTTACGTGCTTTAGATTTCACAGGTAGAGCCAATGCTCTGGCTACGTCACTTTCATTTCCATGTTTTCTAGTCAAATGACGGGACATTTTGTGGCAGGACATTGAACAGTAGAGGCAGAAGTGTCTCTTGCTGTATACTCGCCCCCCATTTTTCTTCTTTTGCAGCTGCATGATAACAATCTTATTTGCCTTTGGTTCGTCACTTTCCGAGTCTTGAAGAAAAGTGTTTTTGATTTTTCTTTTTCCATACTTTTTTACAGGTTTCTTCTTGACAGTTAAATCGTCAGAATCTGAGTCGACTTCATCAATTAGGGACTCTTGACTAAGCTGCACAAACAACAAATAATTTGTAATCATTCTATATAACAATTTGAAGTCATGACTTGTAGTCAGCACTTACCAGTGGTTTGTAAGCGTGCGCTTCAGTGTGCTCCTCCATGATTTCTTGCAGCCTAATGAACCACACACTTGCACCTTTTTCTAGCCTGACACCTGATTTCCTCTGTTGTGCTGCTCCATGATTGGCTCCAGCCTGCTGGACTGAAATTGCCCCAGTGTGCCCCTCCTTGATATCCCGCAACCCACCACCAGGGTTCCGACACATAACACACTTTTTTCAGGAAAGTAAACCTCCAGGGGTCCTTTCCATATTTTTACAGAGACTGCATAAGGACCGTTAGAAAAGCATTACCCATTGATTATTAAGCTTGGACCAGTGGGGTCCGGTGTTCGGGCCCCACCACGTAAAACCAGTCCCCATGACGTGAGTGGAATCTCAGGTTATGGAACCCACCAGGAGTTGAAAACAAGTGCACACATATTCTCAAAGAATAAGGGTGGGCGCATTTCTCCCCGGGAGAGAGCGCATGAAATTTGTCTTGAAAAAGAGCAATGACAGGTCCCAGAACCAAGGGGAGTCCCTGGAGGTTTTAACCCCGAAAAAAGCCCTTAAATCCGGCTTAAAATAGGGCCATGCGGGTCCCAGAACCGAGGGGATTCTGTGGAGGTTCTATCCCCGAAAAAATCTTAGAAATCCGGACAGAAATCCGGACATAAATGCAGCACTGGAAAGCCTGAGACCCAGGGGGGTCCTCTGAGGTTTTAACCCCGAAAAAAGCCCTTAAATCCGGCTTAAAATAGGGCCATGCGGGTCCCAGAACCGAGGGGATTCTGTGGAGGTTCTATCCCCGAAAAAAGCTTAGAAATCCGGACATAAATGCAGCACTGGAAAGCCTGAGACCCAGGGGGGGTCCTCGGAGGTTTTAACCCCGAAAAAAGCCCTGAAGTACGGCTTGAAATAGAGCCATCACAGGCCTGGTGCTCCAAGCAAATGTGAAAATAATTCTAAGTGCTGTGGGCAGGATTCGAACCTGCGTGGGAGGACCTCAATGACTCCCCATTCCATCGCCTTTGCCACTCGGCCACAGCGAGCCCAGTACTACAGCATAGACACTTAGGTTTTTTGGCAAAACACTTAGGCTGATTTGTAGGCTGAGGGGTGGGAAAGGCCTGGTTCTCCAGGGGGGCTATGTTCATGTGTGGGGGCTACCAGGACCTCCAGACCGGTTAGGGTTAGGTCTGGGGAGGGCCTGGGTCTCCATGGGGGTTAAGGTTAGGTGTGGGGAAGGCCTGGACCTCCAGGGGGGCTATGTGCAGGCGTGGGGGCGGCCTGGATCTCCTTGGGGGTTAAGGTTAGGTGTGGGGAAGGCCTGGATCTCTATGGGGGTTAAGGTTAGGTGTGGGGAAGGCCTGGACCTCCATGGGGGTTAAGGTTAGGTGTGGGGAAGGCCTGGACCTCCAGGGGGGCTATGTGCAGGCGTGGGGGGCGGCCTGGTTCTCTATGGGGGTTATGGTTAGGTGTGGGGAAGGCCTGGATCCCCATGGGGGTTAAGGTTAGGTGTGGGGAAGGCCTGGATCTCCATGGGGGTTAAGGTTAAGGAACAAACGGTAAAAGATGAAGTCAAGACTTTTTTTTGCAGATTATAGCTAAATTGTAAAAATAATCATTTAAGACCACATGTACCACCAATTAAAAATAATGTAGTCTCTTTTTGAATGTGGGAACTTTTACATGTATGTCTAAAAAATAGGAATAAAAAAAATGAAAGTGGATAAACCTCTGACACAAACCTGGATGTTTGATACGCTGAAGAAATACTTTCCAACATCCCATTCTTCCCACTCCTATTCATGGACATAATATGCCTTATTTATTTTGCATAAAACTATTATAACTTAAATTGGCATTATTATTTTGTTTTTTGTTTTTTTATCTCAAATGTCCAAATAATAAAAATAAAAAACATTAATCAAAACATTCAATCATCATATCACGCTGTCATGGCAATGTGAATGGAGACGGACAAACAACTGTAAAATAATACCCTGTTTGCTGCTGGATGGTGTGAAACTGGCCAACCATAGTCAGGGAGAGTGGATGAGGAACTAACACTATTACTGTGACTTGCAGTTCCACTTTAGGCCAATTTTTACATATTGTTCATTTAAGGCTTCAAACAAAAAGATATTAAAAATTCAATTTTTTTGTCAGAATCACAAGTGGGACACAATCGTGAAGTGAAACAAAATAACAATGTATCATTTTAAACTTTTTAACAAATAAAAAACTGAAAAGTGGGGCGTGCACTATTATTCGGCCCCTTAGCGCTAATACATGTTGTAGCGCCGATCCCACCGTTTTAAGGCTGCAACTACAGCTGCAAGTAGTCACTTGGGTAGTGTCATTCCATCATTTTGCACATCGAGAGACTGGAAATATGCCCAATTCTTCCTTGCAAAACACTCTAGCTCAGTGAGGTTGGATGGAGAGCGTTTGTGGAACAGCAGTCTTCACTCTTTCCACAGATACTCGATTGGATTCAGGTCAGGACATATGACTTGCCATTCTAACACCTGACTTAATTTGGAACCAATCCCTTGTAGATATGCTTTATGTTTTGGATATTGGTCCTGTTAGAAGAAAATCTCCGTCCCAGTCACTCAGGTCTATTGCAGACTCAACAGGTTTCTTCCCCAGAATGGACCAGTAATTGGGCTCCATCCAATCTACCCATCAAATTTAGCCATCTTCCCTGTCCCTGCTGAAGAAAATCCATGCCCAAACCATGGATGCAGCCACCACCAAGTTGACAGTGGGGATGGTGTGTTCAGGTGAATGAGCTGTGCTTGCTATTACGCCAAACATATCGTTTGTGCATTTGCCAAAAGTACGATTTTGGTTGTCATCCTGACCAGAAGCAACCTTCTTCACATGTTTGGTGAGTACTCCCCAGCTGGCTTGGGCAAAACTTTAAACGAGACTTTTTATGTATATCTTTGAGAAATGGCATTCATCTAGCCACTCTTCCAAAAAGCCAGATTAGTGCAGTGCACAGACTGATTGTTGTCCCAATGGACAGACTCTCCCACCTATATATATATAACACGGCGGAACATATATATATAACATATATATATACATACACAGATTATGGGTTCAATGTGGCCCTTATAGGGAGAGAAATTAACTATTTTAATCTATTCTAACTTTTATATGGCATACATTATTATTATTAAATATTATTCAATATTAGCACAAATCATAAGCATAAAAACTTAAACAACTTAAATAGAAGTAAAAATAATGACAAAAATAATAAAACGATAAAAGAAAGGATAACACATCTCAACAGTGTTAAAAGCCAGAGAATAACAGCATAAAGACCACACAGAGAAGGCCCTGACCCAGGTTAAAGACACCAGAGAAGGCCTGACCCCATGGGTTTAAGACCACAGAGAAGGTCCTGTGCTCTGGGTTTAAGACCACAGAGAAGGTCCTGTGCCTCTGGGTTTTAAGAGACCACAGAGCGGTCCAGTGCTCTGGGTTTAAGACCACAAACCACACTGTTCCACATATTTATTAGTTTCCTATTTAAAGAATTACAATATAAACACCCACCTGAGAACTGGTGCTTCCGTCTGGGTAAGTCTGTGTTTGTGATTGACGTTTCCAGACGACGGGGGAGGGGCCATTTTATCCTCGCCCGCGGCGGTGGGGAGAGCCCAAACCCACCTGCGCTCTGCAGACGAGGCTTATCCCTCTTCTGCCTTGCTGCGGTACAACAACACAACTACTTAATCATTGAATAAGTTCAAATTGACCTTCAAAAGAGAGCAAAGTAAAGTGGGCATTTTCACTGATACTCCTTCCACACTGCGACGTTGGGACCGATACACTGATGTTGCGTGTAAATGGTCTAGGCTAGAGACAGAATGAAGAATCAAACTCAAAATGAGAGGTGAGCAACAATAGAGCTGGACGTAGAGTAAGTGAGGCTTAATGCAACAAGGCGAAATCACAACAACTATATATTATATATATTAAATCATGAAATCTAAAAATAATATCATTTTGAACAGGACTGGTATCGAAGGATTTACAGCATTACAGATCGTTAGTATTAAGCCTAACTACTTTTTTGTATATTTTGTGTGCTCCCTGTGTGCACTTAACTACAGTCCTGTCTGTGCGCTGCACCATCGACAATTTCCCCACTGTGGGACAAATAAAGGAACTCTTATCTTCTAACACTGATCCTCCAGGAGACATTGGTATTACGGTATGCAACGGCAATCAAAACTGACGGTGAAAAAAGATATTGATATTTCCCCACTGTGGAACATAAGAGTGGTCTCTTCTCTTACCTTAATGCTCCCAGCAAAGCAATGTCACCTTTAATCAATATATCAAAGTAACAGACCTCCCAGAGCAGTAATTTTGACAGTTTAGTTAGCTAAGCTGCTCTGTGCACCTTTTTAGTAAACTTTTAACAACTTTTTAGCGCGTTTTTATTGTTCAGTTTTTTAATATATCTGAGTGTTTTATCTTTTTAATTCAGTGGTTTCAGCAAATAGCACTTAGTCCCGACTGAAACCCACTAGTAGCACAGAGGCTAACACAAGCTAACGAGGACATGGAAAGTGACAATGAAATTGGCTCAAACATGCACAATATTAGTCGCCTCACCTTGGAGCTCCGTGAGAGCGACCGTGCCACCATTGCAGATCTACGAAAAGAAGTCCTTCGTCTCACCGCAGAGTTGAATGAGAAACAATCTCTAGTATCCAAACTTTTTGAAGTCGCTGGTGGGCAGCACTCACGGCTGATGTCACTGAGCGCTGCATATTGTGACACTGTCGTGTGGGAGAGATCCGTCAGCTCTGGACCCTCCTGTTCTACACCTAAGCGCCCGCCTACGAATAACGAGCCCGCGGATTCCGAGGAGCCATCCTGCGCCGTGGCCCATGTCCTGAGTCTGGCAAACCGCTATGCAGCCCTCTCCACCGACATCCCGGCCCCCTCAGCAGAATCCCTGGACACTGCAGCGTACTCTACTGCTCGAGGATCCAAGTCCACTGCGAGGAAAACGCTCCTAAAGGAAGCAGTCCTCAGGCGAAAGAGCGGTCCACCAGCCATGTTGGCCTGTTCCCCTTCTTTGACCCCAGTGCAGCAGCCTCAGACTGGGGTAGCGAGCCATCATTACCACCGCTCACCTCCACCGGGTCAGCAGCAGCGCCCAGAGCCAGCCCCTCTCACCGCTCCAGCGTCCCCGAGCACACAGCGTGGGTCGCCTGTAGCTGAGAGTCAGCACCCCCGCTCCTCCTCTCCATGTGTTCAGCGGCGCTCAGGCTCCGGTCCTGCTTCGGGTGAACCCGCTGGTTCCGTCCACCGAGCTCCTTCTCCGAGGCCGCGTCCACGTCCACTCTTCGCCCCGACCACTCTGATTATTGGAGATTCCATTGTGAGACACGTCCGCTTCTTTAACGCGGTCACTCGCTGTATTCCCGGAGCTACTGTACCAGACCTGCTCATACGTCTCCCTCCTCTGCTTCAGTCCCTGCCTGATACCGTTTCCAAGGTAGTCGTGCATGTGGGAATTAACGACATGAAACTTCAGCAGTCAGAAGTCACGAAGAAACATTTTATGGATCTGTTCCACCTCCTTCAATCCTCCGGACTATCTGTTTTTATTTCTGGTCCAATCCCGACTGTAAACAGAGGTGACTGCCTCTACAGTCGTGTTGTGGCGCTGCATGTGTGGATCCAGGCTACATGCAGCTCTTTTAACTTTGTCTTTGTGAATAACTTTGCCCTTTTCTGGAAACGTTACGAAGCCTATCGTCCAGACGGATTACACCCAAACAGATACGGTAGCAGCCTGTTGATGGATTACATACGTTATGTTGTTCAGCGTTCCCCGAGGGGGGCGTGACTGTTTACATCTGAGCCCCCTAGGACCCCACCGCACTCCCCCGCCTCCTGCTCACCAGCACCGGGTGAGTACAACGGTGCAAACACTGCTCCCTGTCCGTCTGGCAGTGCATTACCAGTCCAAACACTGAACTGTGCTGACTCCCTTCTGACTCTGGGAGCTAAAGAACAACAAGGGTTTTCACATTTTAGGCCAATTGAGACTGTGTGTGTTCCTCGCACCAGCTCAAAAATGTTTTTAAATTCTAAAAAACGAAATCAAAACAGGACAGCAGTTAGACGGTCCAACTCTGCAAATCTAATTTCTGTTCCCTGTAGAAATCAATCAACCACATTAATCGACTCTGACGTTATTTTTAAACTTGCTATGCTTAATGTCAGATCTCTATGTAACAAATCATTTTTAATTAATAATTTTATCACTTCTTATGATCTTGATTTTATGCTTATGGCTGAAACATGGCTGGACCAAAATACAGGAAATGCAGTTCTAATAGAAGCAACACCACCCAATTTTAAATTCGAATCCGAAATACGAGAAAACAAAAGGGGGGGAGGCATAGCTGCAGTTTTTAGAGAGCACTTTGTCTCCCATAGAATGCCCCTTGGAAATTTTTCATCGTTTGAGTATATTTCTTTTAAAATGGAACAAAAGCAATCTTCTACTCTTTTCATTGTCCTGTACAGGCCACCACAGTCATGTTGCGATTTTATTGACCATTTTACTGAACTACTTTCATTCGTGTGCACAGATTTTGATAGTTTAGTTATTACAGGTGATTTTAATGTACATGTTGATAATGTTGATGACAGAAATGCAAAGGAGCTGGCTTCTGTATTTGAGACCTTTGGTTTCATTCAGCACGTGAGTGGCCCCACCCACAGCAGGGGGCACACTCTTGACCTGCTAATTACAAAGGGGGTTAATGTATCAAATGTTAATGTAGTTGATGTTGCTTTGTCAGATCATTTCTGTGTATTTTTTGACATGTGTTTTGCTAGCAAACCACCAGCTGAATTTACAACTGTTAGAAGAAGACACATACATGAAAACACAAGTGAACTGTTCATGGGAATGCTAAATTTTGAGAAAACTCCATGCTCTACTGTTGATGAATTGTATAACTCTGTCACCACCAGTGTTCTGACTGTTCTGGACGCCATTGCTCCTGTGACGGTTAAAATAGTTACCAGTAAGAAAAAGGCCCCATGGACTAAGGCAGACTCGGTTAGGGCACAGAAGCAAGAGTGCCGGAGGGCCGAACGGAAGTGGCGAAAGTCCAATTTCCAGGGCGATTATGAAATCTTTAAAGATGAGTTGGGTGAATTTAACCGGGTTCTACGTAGAACAAGAGAAATGTATTTTTCTGACATTATTGGAGGTTGCAGTAACAATTTTCGTGTTATGTTTTCAACAGTTGGTAGATTAACAAACCCCCCTGTAAAGTTGCCCCTAGAATTTTCCTCTAAATCTAGGTGTAATGAGTTCGCACAGTTTTTCGATGACAAAGTACAAGGAATCAAAAACACTATCACCTCCACAGCACGTATAACAATGCAACAGCCAGAGAAGCTTTCTGAGCTAACTCACTTTGCACCTGTGGATACTGAAACTGTCAAAAAGATAATCATGAGTCTGAGCTCCTCCACATGTAGCCTGGATATATTGCCCTCTAAATTTCTGAAGTCCGTCCTGAGCAGTTTGTTACCTTCACTGACACAAATAGTAAACATGTCTCTGTCGTCAGGAACATTTCCTATGGCCCTAAAAACAGCAGTCATAAGACCTCTCCTAAAAAAGAGCAGTCTGGATCCTGCGGGACTTCAAAATTATCGCCCCATATCGAATCTGCCATTTATTGGAAAAATTCTTGAAAAAGTGGCCTCCCAACAACTTACTGAATTTTTAACAATGAATAATTCTTTTGATATGTTCCAGTCTGGGTTTAGACCCCACCACAGCACTGAGACCGCTCTAGTGAAGGTAACAAACGACATTCGACTTCACACTGATGCAGGTAAAGTCACAGTTTTGGTCATGTTAGATCTTAGTGCCGCGTTCGACACTGTCGACCATGAGATCCTCATGCAGAGACTGGAGGACTGGGCTGGTGTCACTGGCACAGCCCTAGACTGGTTTAGGTCTTACCTGGAGGATAGGAAGTACTCTGTGGAGATTGGAGACTGCGTCTCAGATGATGTGGCCCTGACCTGTGGTGTACCACAGGGGTCGATCCTGGGACCTCTCCTATTTAATCTCTACATGCTGGCCGTTAGGTCAGTTAATACAAAGAAACAAAGTGTCCTACCACAATTACGCTGACGACACTCAGATCTATGTCTCACTGACTGCAGGAGAACATGGACCACTGGATTTGCTCCTTCACTGTATCCAACAGATCAGTGACTGGATGCAAAATAATTTCCTCCAGCTAAATACAGACAAAACCGAAATCATTGTCTTTGGTCCCCAGAAACAAAGAGAGGGCGTCATTTGTCAACTTCAGTCTCTCTCCCTACTTCCTTCAGACAAGGTCAGAAATTTGGGGGTAATACTGGACTCAGACCTAAATTTCAATAGCCACATAAAATCAATAACATCAACAGCTTTTTACCATCTGAAGAACATTGCCAAAGTTAGAAATATAGTGTCCAGGGCAGACTTGGAGATTCTTGTCCATGCATTTGTCTCCAGCAGGCTAGACTACTGCAATGGCCTGCTTACAGGTCTGTCCAAACAGACCTGTAAGCAGCTGCAGTACATCCAAAATGCAGCAGCTAGAGTCCTGACAGGAACCAGGAAGTATGACCATATTAGTCCGGTCCTCAGGTCTCTGCACTGGCTTCCTGTGGCTCAAAGAATAGATTTTAAAACGGCTCTGCTTGTGTACAAGTCTCTCCATGGCCTTGCACCAGAATACATTAGTGACATGTTGGTGTCATATGAACCAGCCCGGACTCTGAGGAGCACAGGGACTGGCCTCCTGCTGGTGCCCAGAGTGAGAACCAAACATGGGGAGGCTGCGTTTCAGATCCATGCAGCTAAGATCTGGAACAATCTCCCTGAAAATGTGAGGGAGGCGTCTACTCTGTCAATGTTCAAATCCAGGTTAAAGACTGTTCTGTTTGCCTGTGCATACAACTGAAGGATTTTATCTCCATTTTTAATGCACTGCTGTCATTTATTTATTTTTTTAAATTTCTTGTGTAATTTTGAAAGTTTTAATGGTTTTATTCTTTTGTGTGATTTTAATGTTTTAATTGTGTTTTAATCTTTTGTGTGATTTTAATGTTTTAATTGTGATTCTGGTGTTTGTTTTATGTGATGATTTGTGATGTGGACTGTGAAGCGCTTTGTGTTGCCATGTGTATGAAAGGCGCTCTACAAATAAACTTTGATTGATTGATTGATTGAAATAAGGTGCTCCGCTCTGCAAAGAGGACCGTGGGCTGTGAGCTTCCTGTTCTGGAGGTTCTTTACAGATCCAGACTTTTAAACAAAGCTCTTAAAATCATCAATGACTCTTCTGGCCACCCTGGGAAAGCCATGTTCCAGCTTCTTCCCTCTGGCAGAAGATATCGGTCACTGAGATGCAAGACATCTCGCTATGCTAACAGCTTCTTCCCACAGGCTGTTAGGTGCCTAAACAGAGCATTTTAATTTCTGCTTTTACCTGCTTTTAAACTGCTTTTACCCCTTGTATTGTTTTGTTGATCGGTGCCACAGTGTCAGCTGTTTTTTTTATTGTTTTATGTTCAGTGTATGTGTGTTTTGTATTGCATTGTGTCGTGCTTTTGTTCTGTCGGTGCACACGGAGCGCCTTTTCTTGCGAACGTATTCCAATGTGGTTTTTTAACTGCACATGGCCAAATAAATGAATCTTTGAATCTTTGAATCTACTGTAGTACTCTCTTGCAGCTCTCCCTCCCCCGCACGAATAAACAAAGCCCACCCCAGGCCCCTGCTGTTATAAGTCATTACCTACATTTGCAAATCAATACATGCAAATGTTAGCAGCCAACCTAGCAAGTTAGCTCCTTCTTTTCAAAACAGGGGCCAATTTCGCTTGGGTTTGCTAGTGTTAAAACTAAGCAGACATTCATCAGCCAACTCCATTATATTTGTAAAACACGGAGAAAGAAAGTTTCCCACCCATCCTACATTTGTATTGGCAATATCGTTTTACAAGTTTACTACAGTCTAGCAACTATTCATTTCAACCTTCGGCACAACACGCCAAAACACGCATGAAATTCAAGATTTGGACAACAATAAACATGTTCACACTCTGGCATCATGTTTAAAAAATTGAATTTGCGCATCAGAAAAAGTCTAACGGAAACACGCAAACTTCGAATCATATATATAATAAGCCTCTGAATTTATTCTTTTAAATAATGTTGTTATAACACTCACCATTAATGCGACTTCTGGTGCTGGACTGTAAAAAATACAACTCAAAATTGTTCACCTTACTAAGATTTTTGCATTCACTGACAATAAAATTGCCAGTTGGAACTGCAACTGTCTGCTGTGAGCCACTTGAACTCACTTTCTGAAGTTTCTGATGAAAAGTTCATCTTATTTGATATATTAAGTTGATTTGACTTTGAAGTTGTAGTGAACTTCTGAAAGTTCAAGTGGCTCACAACAGATAGTTCCAGTTCCAACTGGAAATTTTATTTTATAAACTTAACTGACACAACTTAATAAGTGTAGTTCTTCAAAACTTGAAGAATTAAGTTAATGCCTTCAACTCAAAAATCCTTCGCAGCTGGTTGCTTTGAAATTTTGAGTTGAACTAACTTTTTCTTTTTTACAGTGTGCATGGACCAGAAGTCCAATTAAAATAATGGACAATTGCTCCTGCAGCCCTGAACAGGACATGCGAGATGCGCGGGTCGGCCCGAAACCCGCAGTCAACCCGCGGGTCCCGCGGTTTCGGGCGGGTTGGATGCCTCAAAAATATGAGTCATGTCAGGTGCGGGTGGGTCGGGTCAGAAAGCTCCTGATCCCTATATAATATTATATATGTGAGCCACGGTATGGGAGTCCCTTGAGTACATTTGCAATCGCGCAGGGAGGCTGTTAAACAAAAAAATCATGCTGACAAACAGGATCGCTCCTTCCTGACTCCCCGCTTAAAGCCTCAGAACACTCCAGCCCGAGGACAGACGTGTGATCTACACAGAGGCACCGAGACTGATGACTGTGGGCCTCACCAACCCACTCTCTCAGAAAACTGTGTAATAGTCACATTGGTCCACCTCTTAAACTGTGAGAATACCACAGTTTGGGCTCTGAAACTGTGGCACTCTTACATATTTTATTGCAATGTTATTCTACGGGAGTCACGTGACCACACCGTTTCCTGCGAGGGAGGAAATAAAAATGGCCGACATTTCTCATAATTATAGTCCAAAACTGCGGTTTATAGCATTATTTAGAGACTAAAGTCAACTTATTTCACAATTTTGAGCGAGAAATATACACTTGTATTTCGTTATTTTTAAATAAAATGGTTCCTAATGGCTTCATTTACAAAATTGAGCGATCTTTTTTTTGGACCCTTAAAAATATGTGTTATACATCTTTTCGCGGTGACATCAGCATCCGGGACACTTGACCTAGCAACGCCCGCCGCCATTTTAAGAGGGGTATGCTTTTACTTGACAACCGCTATTTACCACGGACATTGGACAACACGAAGGGTGGGGTGATCGGGCTTTTGCTGTGGCAGGTCCAAAACTCTGGAACTCGTTGCCGCTTGAGTTACGTGCCGTTTCAAACCTGCCCCTGTTCAAAGCGAAACTAAAGACTCACCTGTTTAAAGAGGCATTTGACACATAGTTCTGTGGCAACTGTTGTGAATGTGATAATGGTCTGTTTTTTAATGAAATTGTACTCCTTTTTATATTGTATTTTTATTTTTATTGTGTGCAGCGCTTTGGTCAACTTTGGTTGTTGTAAGGCGCTTTAGAAATAAAACTTGATTGATTGATAGTTGTGTACGTAAACCCGTCATGAAAGCCCTCTAACTAACCATAGGAATTGCAGTCATTACTGAATGAATTACGATTTCATAATCTATGTCATAAAATCAGTCAGGAAGAAATTAGATCCCCAAAATTCACAACTTACCATTAACGAAATGTCTACTGCAGACATACGACCACTTCGACTTTGGGCTCCATGTAGTTCCGTCGTCGTTCGTTCGCCTCTGTGCTTGGATCCACAATTTCCGTTTCTGGCCTTTTTCTGTAGGTATTCTGTAAAATGATATCTTTTCGTTCTGCCAGGCGTGGTTATGACAGCCAAATACTACACAGGATTTGGGCATTGTATAATAAAAATCTGCCAGACTGCAAGATCTCCTTTGTGTTGTCAGCGGTCATTGGCGGTATTGGCGGTTGTCAAGCAAAAGCATACCCCTCTTGAAATGGCGGCGCGCGTTGCTAGGTCATGTGCTGACGTCACGCGAAAAGGTGTATTGAAGGCAGGGGAATGCGGTTCTTGCTCTGCAGCTTCCTGGTTCGCCGCTTTACGCCTCCGCGTTTACCCCTCTTTCTAACTTGACCACGCTTCACAAAGTCATGATTCTGGCCAACAAGTAAATCCTGAAGCAGATTCTCAGTCAAAGAATAAATACTGGAGTCCACAGCAACTGGATTCCATTGCAATCCTAGCAGGAATTCCCGAGTGTATTGTTGTGGCTGCTGTCTGTCACTCCAAACAGTGCTCAAAAGTGTGACAAACATGAGGAAATATAGTGTGACATAAATGTTCATTGATCTCTCATGCACCGACAGTTTTTAGACACTTATCTTCTGTAGGTGAAAAATTGTTAAAATACTATATGAGGCCGCAGAACAGCGCCACCTGTTGTCTGTGGGGGTCATGTCAGACTGTGGGGGTCATATCAGACTGTGGGGGTCATGTCAGACTGTGGGGGTCATATCAGACTGTGGGGGTCATGTCAGACTGTGGGGGTCATGTCAGACTGTGGGGGTCATATCAGACTGTGGGGGTCATATCAGACTGTGGGGGTCATGTCAGACTGTGGGGGTCATGTCAGACTGTGGGGGTCATGTCAGATTGTGGGGGTCATGTCAGACTGTGGGGGTCATATCAGACTGTGGGGGTCATATCAGACTGTGGGGGTCATGTCAGACTGTGGGGGTCATATCAGACTGTGGGGGTCATGTCAGACTGTGGGGGTCATGTCAGATTGTGGGGGTCATGTCAGACTGTGGGGGTCATATCAGACTGTGGGGGTCATCTCAGACTGTGGGGGTCATGTCAGACTGTGGGGGTCATGTCAGACTGTGGGGGTCATGTCAGACTGTGGGGGTCATGTCAGACTGTGGGGGTCATATCAGACTGTGGGGGTCATGTCAGACTGTGGGGGTCATATCAGACCGTGGGGGTCATATCAGACCGTGGGGGTCATATCAGACCGTGGGGGTCATATCAGACCGTGGGGGTCATGTCAGACTGTGGGGGTCATGTCAGACTGTGGGGGTCATATCAGACTGTGGGGGTCATGTCAGACTGTGGGGGTCATATCAGACTGTGGGGGTCATATCAGACTGTGGGGGTCATGTCAGACTGTGGGGGTCATATCAGACTGTGGGAGTCATGTCAGACTGTGGGGGTCATGTCAGATTGTGGGGTTCATGTCAGACTGTGGGGGTCATATCAGACTGTGGGGGTCATATCAGACTGTGGGGGTCATGTCAGACTGTGGGGGTCATGTCAGACTGTGGGGGTTATGTCAGACTGTGGGGGTCATGTCAGACTGCGGGGGTCATATCAGACTGTGGGGGTCATGTCAGACTGTGGGGGTCATATCAGACTGTGGGGGTCATGTCAGACTGTGGGGGTCATATCAGACTGTGGGGGTCATGTCAGACTGTGGGGGTCATATCAGACTGTGGGGGTCATATCAGACTGTGGGGGTCATGTCAGACTGTGGGGGTCATATCAGACTGTGGGAGTCATGTCAGACTGTGGGGGTCATGTCAGATTGTGGGGTTCATGTCAGACTGTGGGGGTCATATCAGACTGTGGGGGTCATATCAGACTGTGGGGGTCATGTCAGACTGTGGGGGTCATGTCAGACTGTGGGGGTTATGTCAGACTGTGGGGGTCATGTCAGACTGCGGGGGTCATATCAGACTGTGGGGGTCATGTCAGACTGTGGGGGTCATATCAGACTGTGGGGGTCATGTCAGACTGTGGGGGTCATGTCAGACTGTGGGGGTCATGTCAGACTGTGGGGGTCATATCAGACTGTGGGGGTCATATCAGACTGTGGGGGTCATATCAGACTGCGGGGGTCATGTCAGTCAGACTGCGGGGGTCATGTCAGACTGCGGGGGTCATATCAGACTGCGGGGGTCATGTCAGACTGTGGGGGTCATATCAGACTGCGGGGGGGGGGGGGGGGGTGTTCTTTCTATTTTTGAATGATGATGAGCTGCTCTGGGGAGATGTCATATACGTGCAGTTCATGCAAGACAGCCCAGGAATTTCCTGAAATGAGAATCTCTTTGCTTTAGATTCTCATTTCTGTAAATTCTTTGGCTTTACCATCAGAGAGGGGGCTGGGGTTGATCAACGGTTATGATCAAATCTGGCAGAATGCCCTGTGGCAGCTGTGGCTACCGTGATGTTGTTTTGACTGAATAAAGAGGACTTTCTGTACAATAAAGTTGTCTTTATGTTTTTCATGTTTTCACTTTGAGGGTTTGTGGAAATTAGGACCACGTTTATTTATAAAGAAGCTCAAGCCAAAGACTTTTGACTTTTACTTAAATCCTGTTTCATGCAGATTATTTTTCTGTAACACATTGTCTTTGCTAAATAGTAGGCCTCTCAGATGTGTTGAGCAGCAGTGGTCCAAGTGCAGACCCCTGTGGGACCCCTCAGGTCCAGGCAGACACTGACATTTTGGACGTAAGAGACAGCTGAGAGTTGTGTCGAGTTCATCGTGTGCGTCTCATTGTGTGGAGTTCCGCCCACATACCTCACCACAGAAGAGCAAAGCAGAGATACCTGCCAGTCCACCAGCGAGCCACCACAGACACACCACAGACCCACTTCAGACCCACCACAGACACACCACAGACCCACTTCAGACCCACCACAGACACACCACAGACCCACTTCAGACCCACCACAGACCCACTTCAGACCCACCACAGACCCACTTGAGACCCACCACAGACCCACTTGAGACCTACCACAGACCCACTTTAGACTTACCACAGACCCACTTTAGACTTACCACAGACCCACTCAGGGGCCACGACCATCAGACCTTTTGAAAGCAGCATCTGCAGGACGCTCAGGAGGAACCATGTGGATCGTTCTGGTGCTGGTGACCTTCAGCCTGAGGCTTCACTCCGGTGAGAGAAACACTTCACTCAAGGCTCTGGTGCGAACGGGGAAGAAAAAAAACAGTTTATTTTTAAAACAACAGGAAAAAGCTCTCAATATTCCAAGGATTTATTTCAACTAGTTTGAAAACAGAGCTTTTAAACAGAAGGAGTGGGGGGACGGGGTTTTCCCGCGGCTAAAAAGCGAAAGAATCTTCTAGAAGTTCTATCTTATCATCTTATTGTCATCTTATTTAATGTAATCCTTCATGTAGCTGTAAGAGAGATCCCTGTGAGTCACTATTTGACTCTTTGGGCTGAGAGCTGATTGGCTGAGAGCTGATTGGCTGAGAGGTGAGGAGAGAGGGAGGGTACAATGTTGCTGTAAACACAAATGCACTTATTCTACCAAAGCATCTAATCCAAAAATCCACATTGAATATTTGAAATATAATTTCTTAAGCTACTTTGATATTCTCCCTCCCTCCCCATCTCTCACTCATTCTTTCTCCCTCCTTCCTTTTCTCTCCCTCTCTCCCCTCTCTCCCTCCCTCCCTCATTCTATCTCTCCCTATCTCCCTCCCTCCCTCATTCTATCTCTCCCTATCTCCTCTAAAGTTGTCATTTCAAGCCAAGTCTTTCAGGGGGTTAGGATTTTTCCCAAACTGGTCCCAATCTAACTTTGACCGTTTAGCCGCGTGGTTTTTCCTCTTAAGGACTTGTATTTATAAGTTACCTAATGTGCCGAGATACTTTTTAATGTGAACTATTTTTGTTGTATTAACTAAATGTGTTATTTGTCCTGATGGTTTTCTGCGTTGCCATAAGGAGCTGTCCTGCGGAGGATTTGGGTGTCATTCCACCTGTACGCAGATGACAAATCTATGTGCCCCTTCAGCGAAACAATAACTTCTGCAGCACCCAACTTCTGGAGTGCATATCTGAAATCAAAATGTGGATGGCAGCAAACTTTTTACATTTCAATAAAAATAAAATAAAAAAGTGAAGTTTTGGCCCAACAATGGCAGCAGTAGCTCCGTGAACCTGGGTACGCTAACACAATTTGTTAAGGCCATAGTTTCAAACCTTGGAGTGAAAATGGATGCTGAGTGTAAATTTGATAAACAAAGAAGTGCAGATTCTTCCATTTAGAGCTGCACTAACTGACTTTGAGAAATGTTCGAATGTGAGCGCTGAGCTCGCTCTTTTTGCTCCCCCTCCTCGCACCCACGGAGCTTTTGCCCCCCACTACCCCCCTCCCACTCAGCCTGTGCTCACATGCTAACTGTATGGCTCACGTCTCACAATATGGATGCACATTTGAACGTGGCGTAACCATAGAATGATAGAACCAGGAAGCACAGAGAGGATGAGACTTTGCTGAGTAAGCAGTAACCGGTGACGAAGACACGGGAAGTTTCAGGTTAGCCTCCGCCGCTTGTTTACCTCAGCTGTCTGTGCTAAAGAGAGACCTGTGGCTTTTCTCAAGAAAGTGGGGGCCAGTGGTCCGCTGTGATTGGTCACAATCTGGTCCCAAAACACGTTCTCTTCCTTGTTTCACGAAAACTCGATATAAAATAAAATGATACGCCAGCACAAATCTGCGCTACTTTTTCTTCAAAAGGACGTATATCCCAAAGCAGAAGTAAAGTCAGGCAATGCAGCTTTAAAGACCTTATGACGGGTTTGATTTATTTAGAAATACAGTTTTTTGTTTTTCCGGTGTCATGGCGGCAGCATAGACGGCCACGTCCACGTCCTCTCTCTTCAAACTGAGAAACCGAAACTTTCCTGATGTGACTAAAGTGTCACAACTGGCAAATATAAGCAAACGGCAAACCGTGTCTGCATACGCCTATGCGCCGAACAAGAAAGGATACAGCAGCTAAACAAGCCATCGCGTCCGAGATGACCCAGGAACTTGGCGTGGATAACACAGCCCTCGCAAAGACTATTGAGGAGATCATGTCCAAGTATTTTGAAGAAGCGGACGAGAAATCGGAAGCTCGAAGTAACAGACTCGTAAAACGGCTCGACAACATGCATGCCACCCTTTCTCGACACACGGAAGACATTAAGGCTCTGCGCTCAGATACCACGCAACTGCAAGAGCGTGCGTCTGGAACCGAGATGCAGTTACAATCCCTCTCCGAAAAAATTGTGGAGATGGAGGATCGTTCGAGAAGAGACAACCTGCTCGTCTTCAACCTCAAGGAAGGGGTGGAGGGCTCTAACATGGTCTCCTACCTGACGGAGAACGTCCCACGCTGATTTCCTGCCTTTGCGCGCGGCGCGCCAGGCTCGCCAAACAACCCAGAGATAATGAGGGCGCATCGGCTTGGCCCAGCACCATCGAGGACCACTCCAAATCCACGCCCGCGCCCGGTTATCATCAAGCTACTACGCTACACCGACAGGGATCTCTTGCTGAAAGAAGCTCGTAAGAAAGTCCCAGAAGTGTCGGGAGTGCAACTCAAATTTGCAGCGGATTATAGCGAGGCAACAGCCAAACGCCGAAGACCGTGCTATAAAATAATGCACGAGGCCCGGGCACAAGGTTTCAGTGCCTTTCTCCTGTATCCAGCAACCATAAAGCTATCCCGGGACCACGACAGCTACACGTTCAGCGAGCCAGGTGAGGCCGAAAAGTTTGTGGCTGCTTACAAAGCTGAGAACGGGTGATGTTAAAAGAACAGGATCTAAACCGCTTCAGACTGCTCTATGAATAACTACTAAGTTTGCTGATATGCAGGTTAGCAGGCTTCTCTGTCCCTGGAAGCCTGTATGCCTTATTTTGCCTTTGTTTATCTACTTTTTATTTTATTTGTTAATTATTATTATTACTGCTCCTACCCTGAGGGAATAGGCAGTGTCAGATGTTATCGATGTTTAAGTTCTACAAATAAAATTTACCATAATTTTTTATTTTTTATTTACTCCTATAGCTTAGCAATCAGCAACATATTTAGGGCGAACAAATAATAAATAATGTCACAATGTCACATATATTTATTCATATTCTTTGAGTAGGTTTTTTATTTCCCTTAGCTATTAATGAAGAGAGAGGGAGGACTAGGCTCTGCCCATGGTTCACTGGTATATTAGTATGGGGAATGGGGTCAATGGGTCTTCTTTTTTTTTTTTTTTTTTTTCTTTTTTTTTTATCTTTTATTTTTTCTGTTGTTTCCTTTTTTTCCTTTTTTTTTGTGTGTGTGTGTGCGCGTGTGTGTGTGGGTGTGTGGGTGGAAGCGGGGGGTGGGATGTCCAGGCATAGGTGCACTATGTTATATTTTCCAAAATGTTATCATTATGAATGGATAAAATAAATGTACTTTCATTGAATGCCCGTGGGTTGAACTCTCCACAAAAACGTGCTAGTGTCTTAGATCTGCTACATAGGAAGAACATCCACTTTGCATTTATTCAAGAGTCACACTTCCAAGAAGCTGATACATACAGGTTCAACAATAAGCATTATGAGGTGACCGCGTCCTCCTGTTACACAAAAAAAAGCAAAGGTGTTCTCATAGCCATTAGGCGTAATTTATCATATATTAATCTAGGTACAGGAGGAAGCGGTGATGGCCGAATCACTTATTGTAAAATTTCTTACAATGGCATTAAAATTGCATTGATCTGTGTTTATGCTCCAAATAATTTTGACAAAACTTTTTTTGATTCTTTAGAAGCTATTTTACTAGATCTCCTTGACTATCAGCTTCTTATAGGTGGAGACTTCAATGCCGCGCGTTTACATCAAGAAGACAGGACAGGGCCAAACGAAAGCTATGATCAAAAACTTGCCTCCAGCGCATTACAAAAAATGACAAGCGATTTTAATCTTATTGATTCTTGGCGTCTTATGAACCCTTCTTCCAGGGAATTCTCCTATTACTCATCACGGCACAAAACCTTTTCCAGGATCGACTATATATTTGTCTCCAAACCACTGTTTCAGTTAATTTACGAAACGGATATGATTCCTTTTCCACTATCAGACCATAGAGCTGTGTCATGCTCACTCAAAGTCAAAACCGGACAGGCTAAGGCATCTCGCTGGCGTTTTAATACCACTTTACTCCAGAACGATGATTTCAAAAATGAACTCAAACAAGAATTGGACTTCTTTATAAATATAAATAAACCTTCAGTGGAGGATCCAAGAATTCTGTGGGAAGCAGTCAAAGGATGTATCAGGAATAAAACTATTTCATTTGCTTCTAGACTTAACAAAGCAAAGAACAATAGGATTAGTTTATTAGAAACCAATATAGTTCGAACAGAACAACAAATGCTAATTCAACCAACACCCGAAAACACTATAAAACGTCAGGAATTATTAGAGGAATTGAATCAATTGCTGAGACAGAAAGCTGAATTTCAGATTCATCGCACTTGCCAAAAGCATTATTTAAACGATGCCCGACCAAGCCGCCTCTTAGCCCTTAAAATCAGAAACAGTGAGCAGCTTGCAAATATACCTGCAGTCACTACAGAGGAGGGCACTATAACTTCTGACCCCGCCGGCATAAATAACACGTTTAAAAAATTCTATCAAAAACTTTATGCCTCAGAAGCCACCTACAACAGCGAAACCTGCTGTAACTTTCTAAACTCCCTCCACTTACCTAAAATCTCATCTGAAAGCGCTAGCTTACTCGAAAAGCCAATCACCTTAAAAGAATTAACCCAAGCAATAAACTGCATGAATAAAGGCAAGTCCCCGGGTCTGGATGGTATTCCTCCAGAGCTATATTCAGTTTTCTGGTCTCAGCTTGGCCCACTTCTTCTAGATATGATTAATTTTTCAATCTCCCAAGGTTCCTTTACAGACAGCAGCAATGTAGCTATCATAACCTTACTGTTAAAGAAAGACAAGCCGCCTACCGAATGTGCCTCCTACCGACCCTTGAGCCTCTTGAACACTGAACTTAAAGCCTATGCCAAAGTTTTGACAATGAGATTAGAGCACACTATGACAAGTCTTGTACATCACGACCAAACAGGGTTCATAAAGTCACGTTTGGCCTCTGATAACGCGCGCCGGTTACTCCATATTTTAGATTCATCTTCCAAGTCCACAGCGTCAAACGCAATTCTCTCGCTTGATGCAGAGAAAGCGTTCGACCGCCTAGAGTGGGAGTATTTGTGGTCAGTACTTCAGCATATGGGCTTCAGCGAGGGGTTAATCTCTATGATTAAGACATTATACGCCAACCCCACAGCAGTAGTGATAACAGGCAATACCTGCTCCTCTAGATTTAAAGTATCTCGCTCCTCTAGACAAGGCTGCCCACTGTCTCCGTTCCTATTCTGCCTATCGCTGGAGCCCATTGCTCAATTTATCAGGCAATCAGAAAATCTGGCACCAATAATGGTCCACAACACCCCCCATTATATTTCCCTTTACGCCGACGACATTTTAATTTATACAAGCAATCCACACATATCAATACCATTCCTTCTTCAATCTTTCGAACAGTTCGGAAAAATGTCAGGTTATAAGGTGAATTGGACAAAATCAGCAGTTATGCCATTGAATAAAACCACAACCAACTTGGAATCTTTTAATATTCCCGTGGTTGAAAGTTTCAAGTATCTGGGCATCTCCATATACCCGGCAGTGAACACTTTAATCAACAATAATTATAATAAAACATTGCATTCTATTACAAACGACCTAAATAGATGGGGCTCACTCCCAATATCCTTTCAATCTCGCCTTTCTATCATAAAAATGAATGTTCTACCGCGCATTAATTTCTTTAACTCCATGCTCCCTTTGGCCCCTCCAAAAGGATATTGGAAAAAACTACATGCCATCATAGGTTCCTACTTATGGAATTGGAAAAAACCAAGAATAAAAACCTCAACATTATACCGGCTTAAATCATCAGGTGGCATTAACCTCCCAAACTTCGAATGGTATTCATGGTGTTTTGCCCTACGTTCACTTTCTCTTTGGTTAAAACCAGACATACTCACATCATGGAAACCAATCGAAGAACAGTTACTTAAGCCCCATGACATGTCATGCTTTTTATACTCTAATATACCACTAAAGATAGTAAAAAACAAATGTGGTCCAATTATCTCTCATCTCATCTCCGTTTGGTATAAAGTCAATAAATTCATGAAAATAAAAAACAATTATTATCAACAATCTCCAATTTTCCATAATTATGCATTGCTAATAGGCAAAAAAATAGCCTCCTTCTCTCCATGGGAACGCCAAGGGGTCCACACGCTCGGGAAAATAACAGACCAAAACGGACTAAGAGAATTCAAAGACCTGCAGGAAAATCACAAATTACCTGCAACGTCATTTTTTTTTTACTTGCAAATACGAGCAGCGATGCGTGCCCATGGCGTCCCATGGGGATGTCGCTTAGAAAATCATCCCCTCCATACCACTTTGTGTAAGGAAAAAAACAATGGCCTTGTTTCAGATCTCTATATACTTGTCACTAAAGCCTCTTACAAACAATTGCCTATTGAACACTTCTGGAAAACAGAGCTAAAAGATCATTCTGAGTGGAACTGGACAAATATTTGGTCCAATGTATCTCTGTCTTCGAGAAACCCAAACCACCAAATGATCCACTACAAGTTCATTCATAGGGCTTATCTCTATCCTAGGAGATTGCACCTGATGAAACTTAAGGACAATCCTTATTGTGACTTCTGTTCAGACAAGGTCATTGGGACTTTTCTTCACATGGTATGGGAGTGCCCCCAGGTTCACTGTTTTTGGGAAAATGTTGCTGGTGCTCTGTCAAACCTAATGGAAAGAGAATTGCCCTACACTCAGAGGTTACTCTTACTGAATGAGACTTCCAATCTTAAATTAAATATTAATGAACGCCGCCAAAATCTAGCTGGTCTCACAGCTGCTAAAAAGATGATAGCATGTCGATGGAAACTTAGACAAACCCTGAGTGTGGAGCAATGGCTCTCATCATTTAAAGACATTGTCCAGATGGAGCTTTCAGCAGCTCGGATCCACGGCGCCAAAAGCGAAAATATCTCATGTTGGTCAAATCTGTTACATAAAATGCAGCTACTGTGTGAAACTTGATTGCAAATGCTTTGATTGTACGTAATAACTATGAATGTACAGTACATAACGATATGTATTCCAAATACAGTGTAAATGTTACATAACTATATGTATTCAAAGCTATTTCTGTAGATGTCACTGACGGAGGAAATTAGCAAATATGTTTGTTCTGTCTATCACTCTTGACTACCAAGACTTGTGTTGTTTGCTTTTTGCCTTTTGCTTTTTATTTTTTGTTACCATGCCTGGACAGTAGGGGTGGGACATGGGGGTGTGAGTGAGTGTGTTAGTGTGCAGTATCTAAGTGTGGTATTGTTTTACTGTATCTTTATTTCCTTAAAATTCATATGAACATGTATTGTGCATTTCTGCTCATACTAAAAGACCCATTATCACAAAGGGTGAGGGGGGGAAAAAATATAAAAAAAAAAATCTGTGCTGCATATGAAATTGTTATGTAAAACTTATAACCCGCACAACCCAATAAAAATTTGATCACAAAAAGAAATACAGTTTTAATAACATTTTATATTAGAAGAGAACTACTAAAGGTTTCAAAATCAGTTGTTGTTTTTTTTGTCTGAGCCCCCCAAATCGAAATAACCCCATAGCAACGCCCTTAGAAACGAAAAAACTTCACAGCCCTTGGTGATGTCAGAACGGGTACGTTTCAACGCTGTAAGTTGTTTACAATTTGGTATTCGTTCTTTTTTCGTGGATATTCAAGATGACAAGGCCGTGTACAGCGATTATGAGATAAATACTAGATTGTATCATTTCGTTATAACTGAGATAGTCCAGTGGTTGTGTAGGTGGACTGCCAATCCAGATACTTGGGTTCAAATCCCACCTCGGACACTTTTTCACACTCAAAATGGCAATTTATGTGTAGTGAGCAATTGTCACCTGTAGAGGGCAGTATTGTGTTGGGCATCAGTGGAGAGAAGAGAGAAAAGGCAGTCCTGTGGCATAGATCCATGGTTTTCAATGCATGGGCGTTACCCGCTGTGACGTCACACACAGGTTAGAGCATAGACAACTTAAATTCATGAAAAACACGTTCTTTTTATAAAATATAGGATTTTTTTTGCCGGAATCTCTTTCAAATTGACATTGTCATGCAATTTTGATATCCACTATTTTTTTTTAAAAAACTCGTCATAAGGTCTTTAAGGCAACTTGCTAAAATAAACTCCTCCCTTACAAGTCCAAATTTTGAAATTTTGATTCACGCTTTTGTTCCGACTCGGCTGGACTATTGTAAGGCCTTGTGCACAGGTATCAGTCCTCACTCGCTCGTCTGCAGCTGGTGCAGATGCTGCGGCGTGTGTCAACAGGAACTCGTATGAGCCTATCTCTCCTGTCATCCCTTCATCGGCTCCCGTTCGCTACCGGATTGATTTTAAAGTCCTTTTGTTTGTCTATAAATGCCTGATGGTCTTGCTCCGCCCCTGTGTGTGAGACTCTGAGTCACTTCCTGTTTTTAAGTCTTGTCTTAAGACTCACTTGTTCTCATTGGCTTTTAATTGATTTTGAATTGATTTTTTTGAGTCGCCCCAGCACATTGTGTGAAGAGTAACAGACCAGAGACAGCGTCGTTCAGAGAAGTAGATCTTTGGTTATTTGTGCAACAGAGCATAAATGGCCAGCCCTGGACATGGGACACCAACAAGCAAGAAACTTATCATAAACAACTGGAACAAAATGAGAGAAAGGGAAGAATATTTTGAGAGTGGGATCTGCTCCCACGGACTGACAGGTTGTAGACCCAGGACTGAGGCTGTAGATCCAGGACTGAGGCTGTAGACCCAGGACTGAGGCTGTAGACCCAGGACTGAGGCTGTAGACCCAGGACTGAGGCTGTAGACCCAGGACTGAGGCTGTAGACCCAGTACTGAGGCTGTAGATCCAGGACTGAGGCTGTAGACCCAGGACTGAGGCTGTAAACCCAGGACTGCAAAGCCCACTTCTGCCCTGTGTGTGTGTGTGTGTGTGTGTGTGTGTGTGTGTGTGTGTGTGTGTGTGTGTGTGTGTGTGTGTGTGTGTGTGTGTGTGTGTGTGTAACATCCCTTCATGTCGTTCTCTCTCCTGATTTTATAAAAAACTGTAGGATACAAGAAAAGTTTTGCCCTCGACTTCAGAGCGGAGCAGAGTGACTGAGAGATCTGTGTTTCGGTCCAAACACTCTACAGAAGTGACTGCTTTTGGAATGACTGTTTAAGACTTTTATTATCACAAAAAAATTGCTTTCTTCTGCTTTTAAAAATGCTGTCTTTCTAAGTCTTATCTACCGAGCCATTTACTGATTAAAGGGGACTGTTTTACAGCAGGATGTGGAGCTGATTCCGCTGTAAAGAAGCTCAGAGCTAAACGTTCTGCCTCCGACTGCACTTTTTGACTCTTTAGGTCTGCATGTCGCATGTTCTGAGTGCAGAGAGAGAGTTTGGTTGGGATCATATAGAGATACAATAAAATGAGTTATTTCTTTACATGAGTTACTTTTGATTCTATACTCACCATGAAGCCTGCGAAGGGATTTTACCACTGGAGATATATGTTCCCCCTTTAGTGTCTAAGATCCTGGATTCTGGACATGCTGCCAGCAGGGGGCGCCACAGGGGTCAAAGCCTTGAGGCAACAAATGCATGGATCTGTTTTTCTGCATCACTTTTAAGTTAAATGTATGACATATGTGTGTATCATATGCAGTGTGTCCGTGTGGAGCAAGATGGTGAATCCAGAAATGCTCCCTTTTTGAGAGAAAAATGCCCCCTAGAGTACCACCTCTAGGGGGCAGTCTGTTTCTTGGAGATAGGATGATTGTATTCTCATTAATACTTAAGTATACTTATACTGTATATGCACTCATATATACCTTTATATACTCAGGTATACTTATATATACTTAGGTACACTTATATATACTTGTGGAAACTGTGTGTGTCTCAGTCTGGGCTCTGAACTGCATCACCTGCAACTTCAATGACACAAGCTGCACGTCGCCCTCCTCCCAGACCTGCACCAACGGAGAGACTATGTGTGTGACTGCAACCATCATCAGTGAGTAACACACAGACACACACACACACGCACACAAAATCACACACAGACACACACACACATACACGTTTTTGTTACCTGGTGGGTCCCTTTGACAGGGCCGTTCAGAATGGGACCCATAGACATAATCTTTTTTTACTGGGACTACTTTAAGTAATACAAAACAGTCAATAGAAACCAAACAACTATTTTAAAGGAATTTTATTTTAGATTTTGTTTTCGAATTGCAGTGATTCTATTTTTGACATAGAATTTAATGCCACTCCATGTCCGATGTCTAAGGTCATCTGGTGAGGCATTAATGCAGGCCAGGCAGTGAGACTTCCCAGGGACCTTTCCAGTCTGTATGAAAGGTGTCATGGTCTTCTCCACAGCCTTCACCTCAGATGCAGACCATGGCTTTCTTACACGTTCTAGGGAGAGAAATAAAAATATATTAGCAATATACACTCCCAGGGTTAGGACCAAGCAGCCTGGCTGTAATCCCCCACCTGGTACACTTACCAGAAGGGGCACTGCCACTACCATGGGGTGCATCTGGATGAATAGTTGAAGGTTCTCCGCTTGAAGTTTCTTTTAGCCCGTCCGTTTGTGAGAGGATCTCTACTGCTCTCCCTGTCGCACAGAAAATAAAAATACAAGTGGCCTTTAGGGGAAAAAAATCATACATATTTTAATAATATCAAGAATTACCTTCAGGCTCAATTTGTATCTGGTCGAGGCTCTTTCCTTCGAATTCCGTCACTCTTCCCTGCTCCATGGCCATCAACACTTTGCTGATTTTGGCCAGCTCCAGTGTCCCCTCTGGTAGTCTGTAATATTGCCTGTGGATGCGAATGTCATGGCCGAGGAAGTTGGCAAGTATGTCCATCTCATTCTCTTTCATATTGAGAACTGTAGACATAGTAGCTATGTGCTTTCTAAATTTGGTTGAGGATAGCATCTCTGGATGCACCGCACCACATTCTTTGGCTACCTGGCGTAGGGAGTCTGATCCCCTGATGTGGGTGTCTGCGCCCGGGCGGGAAAAGAAGTATGGGTTATGGTCAGAGATGGAACAGGCCCTTCTGTTCTCCACCAGCACCTCCATCGAAGCAATCATTTCAGGAGTCAAAAGAACCGGCACTTTCCGACTTCTTTTCCCTTTAATTTCAATGCGTTGAAAATGCTGACACAGCTTTTTCTCAAGTTGGGACAGTCCCAGAGCAATGTCAGAATGGATCCCAGTCTTACTTCTTAAGGTAAAGGCTGTCAGTGGCATCTTTGAAACCTCACCTTCCCTTCTTCGATTGAAAATGATGACCTCACAAAGAGTCAAAACTGCCAGTTTAGACCAATGCTTAGACGTTGGCTCACTTATTAGGGTTTGCACATATTCAGGTCGACATACCTCAATATGTGCATGCATGGCTCTAACGTCCTCAGTCAGAGGGAGCAGGTCCGGAGTGTTCCACTTGGCTTGCCGGAGGGTCTGTAGGGCAGCAGAAGAAACACAGACGTCCCACCTCTTCTCAAAAAGCAGCCGGCTTCGTTGGAGGTTTTTAATAAATAGTTCATCAACACAATGCTCCATTTTTGAGTCACATTCAAGAATATCTGCTAGCTTTCTGAGGCTATGGCCGAGTTTGAGGGCCAAGGATGGAGTCTTGTATTGATTTGTTTCCTCATCATATCCAGCCACAGACCTGACTGCATCAATCACATGGTTAAAGTTGGAAGGAATAAAGAAATCCTTAATTGTTTTCAGTTTCCCTGCGGTTTTTGCTTCGTTAATTAACCTACCGACTTCTCTCATTTTCTGCCTAATGTAATCATGCTTAGTCTTATCATGCCCGTGTTTTAAGTACAGGTGCTCTCCGAGTCTCAGAATCCCCTTTTCTGCTTTGACAACACCCGTGACCTCATCCTGATGCATTGCCGAAATTAAAGACCACAGCTTTTTGCTGATGCCCTCCGGTACAGGCTGGGCTAGGGAGCAGAGGGACTGGACCCTACTTCTACCTGGTTTAGCCTGGGCATCTTTCTGTGAAAGCCGGCACCTGGCCACATGCCTCCACAGCGACTTTCGCTTAAGCAATGCCCCACAGTCTATACAGTGCAAAAACTCACTGGATTTAACTGGGGAATTTGGCTGTTTAGCTGGGACTAAAGTTCCAATGCCGGCCTTTAAAACCTCAAAATTGTGCTCACGGTTTCCACTATTCCTGATCAAATCAAACTGAAGTTTACGTGCTTTAGATTTCACAGGTAGAGCCAATGCTCTGGCTACGTCACTTTCATTTCCATGTTTTCTAGTCAAATGACGGGACATTTTGTGGCAGGACATTGAACAGTAGAGGCAGAAGTGTCTCTTGCTGTATACTCGCCCCCCATTTTTCTTCTTTTGCAGCTGCATGATAACAATCTTATTTGCCTTTGGTTCGTCACTTTCCGAGTCTTGAAGAAAAGTGTTTTTGATTTTTCTTTTTCCATACTTTTTTACAGGTTTCTTCTTGACAGTTAAATCGTCAGAATCTGAGTCGACTTCATCAATTAGGGACTCTTGACTAAGCTGCACAAACAACAAATAATTTGTAATCATTCTATATAACAATTTGAAGTCATGACTTGTAGTCAGCACTTACCAGTGGTTTGTAAGCGTGCGCTTCAGTGTGCTCCTCCATGATTTCTTGCAGCCTAATGAACCACACACTTGCACCTTTTTCTAGCCTGACACCTGATTTCCTCTGTTGTGCTGCTCCATGATTGGCTCCAGCCTGCTGGACTGAAATTGCCCCAGTGTGCCCCTCCTTGATATCCCGCAACCCACCACCAGGGTTCCGACACATAACACACTTTTTTCAGGAAAGTAAACCTCCAGGGGTCCTTTCCATATTTTTACAGAGACTGCATAAGGACCGTTAGAAAAGCATTACCCATTGATTATTAAGCTTGGACCAGTGGGGTCCGGTGTTCGGGCCCCACCACGTAAAACCAGTCCCCATGACGTGAGTGGAATCTCAGGTTATGGAACCCACCAGGAGTTGAAAACAAGTGCACACACGCGCACAAAATCACACACAGAAACACACAAAAACTCAGGACACACAGAAGCATTTCGCTCTTCTCCATGTTTCAGTCCTCAGCACATGAGGATCATACTGTGGCTGATACACAAACAACACTCACAATCGGTCAAATTACAGCCATTTCATGCATAGAGGTGATGTCACCTCATGTGAAACGCTTGGATCTGTGCTCTTCTACCCTCCTACCCTTCCCCTCCCTCCTTCTCCCTCCCTCTCTCTCCCCACAGCGTGGACCATCATTGTCACTGCCACCTCCATCAAAGGCTGTGCCGCGCCCTCTGTCTGCACGTCCACAGGAGACGTGGACTTTTCATTGTTCACAGGGACAGAGATTTTGGCTCGAGCCTCCTGCTGCAACAGTGATGACTGCAACGCTGCCAACGCGGCCGGTGAGTTTCCACGGCGATCGACTGTGTCATCACTGTGGCTCCGCCCACTCTGACTCTGACACTCTGACTCTGTGTGTGCTCTAGCCCCAAACAACGGGATATCCACATCGCTGACCTGCTACAGCTGTGACCTTTCCGGTGTCTGTAATGCCTCAACGGTGACCTGCTTCACACTTGAGACTGCCTGCTTCAGCTCCTCAGGTCAGTCTGAGCAGCTGCAGGGTCTGAGAACACCTCCTCAGGTCAGTCTGAGCAGCTGCAGGGTCTGAGAACACCTCCTCAGGTCAGTCTGAGCAGCTGCAGGGTCTGAGAACACCTCCTCAGGTCAGTCTGAGCAGCTGCAGGGTCTGAGAACACCTCCTCAGGTCAGTCTGAGCAACTGCAGGGTCTGAGAACACCTCCTCAGGTCAGTCTGAGCAACTGCAGGGTCTGAGAACACCTCCTCAGGTCAGTCTGAGCAGCTGCAGGGTCTGAGAACACCTCCTCAGGTCAGTCTGAGCAGCTGCAGGGTCTGAGAACACCTCCTCAGGTCAGTCTGAGCAGCTGCAGGGTCTGAGAACACCTCCTCAGGTCAGTCTGAGCAGCTGCAGGGTCTGAGAACACCTCCTCAGGTCAGTCTGATCAGCTGCTAAGTTTCTACTCAGCACTTGTTACAGCCTGAATTCATACACAGATGAATCAATGAGCTCAAGTTTTCAATTAAATTACGAATTTTGATACACATTTTTATGAACTCATTAGAAAATAAATCGGCTATAGCTTCTTTAAGCTAAGCCAGACAGGGCCTCTGACCAATCAGAGCAGTTCATCAGAGCGGGTGTTAGAGCGAGAGCCAGACGAGCAGAGTCTGTGGCACTAAAGTGTGTATTTAAAGAAAACCGAAGGATTAAGAAGAGACACTAAAATCCCCACAAAATCCTCCTTTATGAAAGCTGTAGGTTCTCTGTCAGGTTCTCTGTCAGGTTCTCTGTCAGGTTCTCTGCCAGGTTCTCTGTCAGCTGAGGTTGAGCTGTTTAGTCTGCAGTACCGCGAGAATCCCCCGAGCACATGGATCTTCAGCTTTAAACTAGCAATACCCCCGTACCTCTGACCCTTGTCCCCACAGTGACCTTTAACCCTTGTCCCCACAGTGATCCCGGCCACAGGGGGCGCTGCAGTACCCACTCACGGTTGCGCCTCCCAGAGTTTCTGTGACTTTATACCGACTCTGTCAATGTTTCCACTGCTCAACGGAATAGGCACCGTTCAGGGCACACCCACCTGCTGCACAGTCCCCAACTGCAACGCTGCTGTTACTACTACTACTGCACCTCCTACTACTACTGCACCTCCTACTACTACTGCACCTCCTACTACTACTGCACCTCCTACTACTACTGCACCTCCTGCTACTACTGCACCTCCTACTACTGCACCTCCTACTACTACTGCACCTCCTACTACTACTGCACCTCCTACTACTACTGCACCTTCTACTACTGCACCTCCTACTACTGCACCTGCTACTACTACTGCACCTGCTACTACTGCACCTCCTACTACTACTGCACCTCCTACTATTACTGCACCTCCTACTACTACTGCACCTCCTACTACTACTGCACCTCCTACTACTGCACCTCCTACTACTACTGCACCTCCTACTACTACTGCACCTCCTACTACTACTGCACCTCCTACTACTACTGCACCTCCTGCTACTACTGCACCTCCTACTACTGCACCTCCTACTACTACTGCACCTCCTACTACTACTGCACCTCCTACTACTACTGCACCTTCTACTACTGCACCTCCTACTACTGCACCTGCTACTACTACTGCACCTGCTACTACTGCACCTCCTACTACTACTGCACCTCCTACTACTACTGCACCTTCTACTACTGCACCTCCTACTACTGCACCTGCTACTACTACTGCACCTCCTACTACTGCACCTCCTACTACTACTGCACCTGCTACTACTACTGCACCTCCTACTACTACTGCACCTCCTACTACTACTGCACCTCCTACTACTACTGCACCTCCTACTACTACTGCACCTCCTCCTACTACTACTGCACCTCCTACTACAACAACTACTGCACCCTCCTACTACTACTACACCTCCTCCTACTACTACTGCACCTCCTACTACAACAACTACTGCACCTCCTACTACTACTACACCTCCTCCTACTACTACTGCACCTCCTACTACAACAACTACTGCACCTCCTACTACTACTACACCTCCTCCTACTACTACTGCACCTCCTACTACTACTGCACCTCCTACTACTACTGCACCTCCTACTACTACAACTACTACACCTCCTACTACAACAACTACTGCACCTCCTACTACTACAACTACTACACCTCCTACTACAACAACTACTGCACCTCCTACTACAACAACTACTGCACCTTCTACTACTACTACACCTCCTCCTACTACTACTACACCTCCTCCTACTACTACTGCACCTCCTACTACAACTACTACTGCACCTCCTACTACAACAACTACTGTACCTCCTACTACGACAACTACTGCACCTCCTACCGGAGTTACAGCACCTCCTACTGCACCTCCTACTGCTGTTACTGATGCTCCAACTGCAGCCACCGGTGAGTTTGCTTGTTTGTGTTTCATGTGTTGTGTGTGTATCACGTGTTGTGTGTGTGTATCATGTGTTGTGTGTTTCAGGAGCCCCCTCGTCCTCAGTTGTGTTGCTGCTGATGCTTCAGGTCTTCGCTCTGATTGTCGCTCGTCTCTGATTCAGTTTTCACTTTGAGGATTGTGTTTTTCCACCGAGGCGCGGCCTGTGAAGAGGATTTAATACATACCTACAACTGACCTCTGACCCCTGACTCTGACCCCTGACCTCTGACTCTGACCCCTGACTCTGAGTCTGACCCCTTACCTCTGACCCCTAACTCTGACCCTAACTCTGACCCTGACTTCAGACCCCTGACTCTGACCCCTGACCTTTGGCTCTGACCCCTGACCTCTGACCTCTGACCCTGGCGGAGGATTGATGTCAGAGTCTGAGAATCTTGGTTTTGTCTTTAGTGAAATGTTTGATGTTTATGTGAATTTTAAGAATAAAAATATATTTCTGTACATGTGTCTGTGACGACTGTGGCAGGAGTACAGGTGTAACGACTGTGGCAGGAGTACAGGTGTAACGACTGTGGCAGGAGTACAGGTGTAACGACTGTGGCAGGAGTACAGGTGTAACGACTGTGGCAGGAGTACAGGTGTAACGACTGTGGCAGGAGTACAGGTGTAACGACTGTGGCAGGAGTACAGGTGTAACGACTGTGGCAGGAGTACAGGTGTAACGACTGTGGCAGGAGTACAGGTGTTATGCTTTACTGGCAGCGTGCCCTAAAGCCTCTTTGAAGAGCTTCCAGCTCGTTCAGAATACAGCAGCTAGGATCTTAACAGGTACCAAAAGGAGGGAGCACATAACTCCGGTGTTAAAATCACTCCACTGGCTCCTTGTGGAGTACAGAATAAAGTTTAAAATCCTTCTCTTAACATATAAAGCCATAAATGGCTTGGCTCCTTCTTATCTCCAAGACACGTTAGTGTCGTATCAACCAAGTCGAGCGTTGCGCTCACAAAACGCCAGACGTCTGGTAGTCCCTAAGGTTTCAAAAAGCACTGTCGGTGGCAGAGCATTTAGTTACCAAGCTCCTTTACTGTGGAATCAGCTCCCCACGTAAAGGAAGCAGACACTGTCTCTACATTTAAGGCCAGGCTTAAAACACTCTTCTTCAACTTAGCATATGGTTAGGTTGTTTGTAACGTTTGGTTCAAACACTTGTGCAATCCACGAATCTTTGGTGTTGTAGCCTGGGCTAGCCTAGCCGTGGCTGCTGCGGTCTCACATTCGTTCGGACACTGTCTCTATATTTAAGGCTAGGCTTAAAATAGTCGTCTTCAGTTTAGCATATGGTCAGGAAGGTAAGACTCAGGGAAAACTAAACATCTTAGACTGTCAGTCAAGCTGCATAGGGAGTCAGTTTGCTGGGAGAAGTATGGTAACTTGAGAACTATCCTCTCCTCGTTCCTACTTTATCGTCTTGGGAAAACTGTTTGGTGTGGTGATTTTAATGCACATGGCACTTTATGGGGTTGTAGGAGAACGGATAAAAATGGCCTTGTAGTGGAAAACTTTATTGATATTGAGAGACTGGTTTGTTTAAATAATGGAAGACGTACTCGATATAATGTCACTAACAACACAGGTGCAATAGATCTCACTCTCATGTCAAGTGAAATTGCAGGTATCAGCACTTGGGAAGTTTCTGATAATCTGTCGTTTGGAAGTGACCATTATTTAATAAGTATTAAAATTGGTATGGAAATGTGTTTAGACAGAGAGACAAAGATACAGCGATGGAAGCTAGGAAATGCAGATTGGAATGAGTTCAGAGTAAAAACTGACTCGTATGGAATGGCTTTGCTCCAAGAAATGTCTACTGATGTAGCTGTGTTAAATAACAGTATAGTTTCACTGATAATCCAGGCAGTAAAGGTAACTATCATGAGAAATGTGTGCCTTGGTGGAATGAGATGTGCAATGAAGCTATTAGGGCGCGAGATAAGACTCGTGTACACTCCATGGAAGCTCTTGTAGATTTTAGGAAGGCTCAAGCTGTTGTGCGGAAAACTATTAAAGTAACTAAAAGAACTTACTGGAGACAGTACACAACGAGAATTGGGAGAGAGATTCAACTATCCGGCATATGGGGTATGGTTAAACGTATGAATGGGGTGAGGAGAAACTATAATATGCCAGTTTTAATTAAGAATGGCACAGAGGCAAGCAACAATTACGACAAAGCTAAAATGTTGGCTGAAACTTTTGTATCTGTCCACAGCTCTGACAACCTTACGCCTGAAGCACGAGAATGTAGGGACAGCACTTTGGCCCAGTTTGGCAATTTGATTTGACAGCTCAGGATGATCTCGACCTTCCATTTAATCTTTTTGAGTTGAAGAGAGCTCTGTCTAAGGCGAGACAAACAACCCCTGGTAAAGATGATGTATGTTATAACATGCTATTTCAATTGACTGAGGAGACACTTGAATTAGTACTGAGTTTGTTCAATCTTGTCTGGGACACTGGGAGCATTCCTAGGTCTTGGAAATAGTCTGTTATAGTCCCAGTGTTGAAGCCGGGAAAATCACCTTTTGACCCGTCAAGCTACAGGCCTATTGCATTAACATCACAGCTGGGAAAGACTATGGAGCGCATGGTAACAGAAAAATTTAACTTTATTTTAGAAACCCAGAATTTGCTTTCCACTCACCAAAGCGGCTTTCGTAAAGGTAGGAAAGGTGGTAAAGGTAGGCTCAGGCAAAGGTAGGCTCTTCACCTGAGCCTCCAGATCTCTCCAAAGTATCTGCGGAATACCAAGACCTGGCGGAAGTGTTCAGCAAGGAACGGGCCCTGTCTCTCCCACCACACAGACCCTACGACTGTGCTATCGACCTTCTTCCTGGTGCCACATTGCCTTCAAGCCGTCTCTATAATCTGTCCCAGCCAGAGAGGGAGGCAATGGAGAGGTACATCACTGATTCTCTTGCTGCAGGTATCATACGTCAGTCTTCCTCTCCTGTCGGTGCTGGGTTCTTTTTTGTCGACAAGAAAGATAAAACGCTCCGTCCGTGTATTGACTATCGTGGATTGAATAACATTACAGTTAGGAATAAATATCCGCTACCTCTAATAAACTCAGCTTTTCAACCTCTACATGGTGCTACAGTGTTTTCCAAACTCGACCTGAGAAATGCCTACCACTTGGTCCGTATTAGAGAGGGAGATGAATGGAAGACTGCTTTTAACACCCCGTTGGGACATTTTGAGTATCTCGTCATGCCTTTTGGTTTGACAAATGCTCCTGCAGTTTTTCAGGCTCTAGTCAATGATGTGCTCAGACTTTTTGAATCTGTTTGTGTTTGTTTATTTGGATGATATCCTGATATTCTCTCATTCTCCAGAGGAACATGTTGTTCATGTTTGCCAGGTCAAGAGAGAACAAGTTGTTTGTCAAAGTGGAGAGATGTGAGTTTCACGTCCAATCTGTCAGCTTCCTCGGCTACATCATTGACAAAGGACAGGTAAAACCAGATCCATCAAAGATTCGTGCTGTTGAAGAGTGGCCCCGCCCAGACAACAGGAAACAGTTACAAAGATTCCTGGGGTTTGCTAATTTCTATCGCCGCTGTATACGCAATTACAGTCAAGTAGCTTCACCTCTAACTCGCCTAACGTCCTCAAAGATCCCCTTTGTTTGGTCTCCTGAGGCTGAGCAGGCATTTAAAATACTTTTTACTTCAGCACCAGTCCTGCTCCATCCTGTTCCCTCTTTGCAGTTTGTAGTCGAAGTGGATGCCTCAGACATCGGCGTTGGTGCAGTTCTGTCTCAACGTTCCCAAACTGATCAAAAGTTACATCCCTGTGCCTTTTTCTCTAAACGTCTTTCTCCTGCCGAACGCAACTACTCCATTGGTGACAGAGAACTTCTTGCTGTAAAGATGGCTCTGGAAGAATGGAGACATTATTGAGAAGGGACTGAACTCCCCTTTATTGTCTGGACAGATCATAAAAATCTTGCATATATCCAATCGGCAAAGAGGCTCAACTCTAGACAGGCTCGGTGGGCTCTATTTTTTGGAAGATTTAACTTCACTCTTACTTATCGTCCAGGATCAAGAAATATTAAACCAGATGCTCTGTCCCGCCAGTTTTCTTCCACAGACTCACCGGAGACCGCTGAAACCATCCTACCTCCATCCTGTGTCGTGGCTTCTATTACCTGGGAGATTGAGAGCACAGTCAGGGAAGCTCAGAAGACTGAACCAGACCCGGGGAATGGCCCACCTAACTGTTTCTTTGTTCCGCAGTCTGTTCGCTCCCAGGTACTCCAGTGGGCACACACCGCCCGTTTTGCCTGCTATCCAGGTTTTGGCCGAACTCTTGCCCTGCTGAAACGCCACTTTTGGTGGTCAAGCATGGACAAAGACACTAGAGACTATGTCTTGGCCTGTACCGTGTGTGCTAGGGGTAAAGTCACTAACCAACGACCTGCTGGATTACTCCGCCCTTTGCCTGTGCCAAGCCGACCATGGTCTCATATTGCCCTAGACTTTGTCACTGGACTTCCCCCTTCTAGCGGCAACTCTGTTATACTCACCATTGTCGATCGTTTTTCCAAGTCTGTACACTTTGTGGCCCTTCCGAAACTTCCTTCAGCTCTAGAAACTTCTGAGTTGTTGGTAAAACATGTTTTTTGTCTCCATGGCACTCCAGTCGATATTGTTTCAGACAGAGGACCACAATGTGTCTCCAACGTATGGAGGAGTTTTTGCAAGGCCTTGGGTGCTACTGTCAGTCTCACCTCTGGTTTTCACCCCCAGACCAATGGACAGTGCGAGAGAGCCAATCAGGATCTGGAAGCTGCTCTCCGTTGTGTTGCCGCTCAGAACCCATCTACCTGGAGCCAGCATCTATCTTGGGTGGAATATGCGCACAACAGTTTGCCCTCGGCTGCTACGGGTATGTCTCCATTTGAGTGTTCTCTCGGATATCTTCCCCCTCTGTTTCCTCATCAGGAGCGTGAGATTGGAGTCCCCTCAGTGCAGGACCATCTTAACCCATGCCGGACAATTTGGAGGAGTGCCCGGGCCGCTTTACTGCGCACTGCTGAGCGAAACAAACAAATAGCTGATCGCCATCGTTCTGCTCCTCCCACATACCAGC